TGTTTACATTCACATGTTATCTTGACTTGAAGTCAGCTAAGATGACACTATTAAATCATTCGATCTATATCTCCCAGTTTGTAGTTTAAGACACAATTACCCCAATTTGAAACACAATCACACCAATTTGATACACGCGAAGTTATAAAAAAAAAATATGTTGGATGTATACACTTAAGCCCTGAAAGCGAAACATTATTTATGGCAGTTGATAATCTCAACAACTTTGGAGGATCAGGAATAATTTAGATTTAATGTGGCACATAACCTTGGTTATATTTACATTTAGTGTCTGGACTCACACACTGACACGTTTGGTAAAGTAATATCCTTGAAAGTCTGATAATAGTATTCAACTATTTGGATCGTTAAATTGTCTCTCAAAAAGTTTTCCTGGTGGAAGGAAACCCAAAAGGAATCTCAGCAAGTTCTTCCTTGTTTCTGAATGTGTTGTTCAATCATACCATAGTCAGCTTTCGTTGAGTTCGCGTGCACCCTCGTATTGACAACGCCACTCTGTCTCATTCATACTGTGTTGTTGTTGCACCTATAGTATAATGAACGCTCGTTTTATGTTCCAAATTTAAACATAAAAGCATCGTCGCGGCTGCGGCAGTGCGGTGGCGTGACTTCTTCTGACCAACCGGCGCGCTCGACTCTACGTATTAGTGCGACGACCCCACTCGCTATAGAGTACTATTGAGTTGTGCGAATGCTAAGCTAGTCGTCCGTTGCCAGATAATCGAGTATACGGTTATAGAATTGAAATGATTGGAGCCATACAAATTCTTTGTAGATGACTTTAGTATTGAACAACTTATTTGGGCAGGTAGCGCATTATTGCCGATGATTTCCTATGAACCATGGACGTATAAACCTTTTTTTATACGTGCATGCTATGGACTGAAATTTTCATATTTGATGTTATAAATGTGCCCATGGTTTTTTATTGATGGTATCAAAAACCTGTTATAAAAACATTTCCCTTTGAATTCAAATTATATGAGGCAAGTTTATATTGGTTTTGTGTTCCTTTGATTAATAGCGAATTTTTAGGTAAGTATTACGACTTATATTACAAGTGGACCTTAACCTCTGCGATATCTTTTTGTTACTGGGTATAAGTATTTTACCTTATCTAAGGTCTATTTCTTACTCTATCAGGTTGAATTACAAAAAGTATTTTAAGGACACGTATTTTTTCACATAATCAAAACATAAATTGATTTGAAATGTCGCATGACTTCACGTCTAGGTACAATTTTTACTTAGAATGACGTCACGAGCTCTCAAACTTTGACGCACGCAAAAACATAAAGGTTTTTGTAATTTTTTGGTCGATTTACAAAAGGAAAAATATGTATCCATTATTTTTTGATAATCTAACTGACGGAATAGATAGAATTTTGTTTAATTCGTCGTCATTTCTATTATGAACGCAAACGCTACAAAGATTTAAATCGTTGAAATGCTACTCCATATTTCAAATATTTTGTCGCTAAGCAAATGTTTTATCATCATTGCAAAAATAGGTAGCTTTATTGATTTGCATTTACTGAATAGATACTTACTATTCATATAAAATGTACTTGACATTGAGGACAAGTATCAAACGTGTACCTATTCGACGGTACTTCCTTTTTTATGCCATTTGTTTAACTCACTCTGACTCGTATATAGAAGTTACCGAATGCTTTCCTCAATTTCGTAAGATTATTTGTGAAAGACTAGCGGAGAGTCATTCATATTTTAAAATAGTATGATATTGTAGATTCAGAAAGACATTAACAAAGTAGTCGCCAATTACCTCGTGAATTGAAACGTGGAGGGGGAAAGAACATTGTAACATTGCTGTCTCCACGTGGTGCTTACAACAAAACGAGACACATAAATATAACAACAGAAGCGTGATTGTTATCTGGTTTTCAGTTCGTATATCTAGTGTCCATGAGTCATCCACGCACATCATTCCTGCTGCAGCCAAATTACATTGTCACCGTATCTACAGGTCGAATGATTGGTGTCTCCCTCACTCCTCTCAGATGTCGTAGTCGTCTCTGTCTATTTTTTATTATTGTGATTTTGCCACGGTTGGGAACCTTGCCCGTGACTTTTCTAATTATGTAATACTAACGGTAGCTACTCGGCGCGTAGTGTGGTATGAATTCGGTTTCTGTGTCAGCTGTCTTGTTGGCGTTTTATTTTTGAAGCGAAAACTTCTTTAGCACCGTTGTGATTTGAGATTCGATGAAATGGAAGTAGAGTATTTGACACAAGATAGGTATCCGTAATTTTATCATTTACCATAAAAGACGGATAGCCGAACGGTAACGGTCTAGGTCAACTGATCGATGGTTAAATGAGCTGAGCTCAGAGCCTGAGCTCTGTAACTCTTTTTAATTGCTTTTTTGCTTTTACTAAGCTATTATTTATTTTTCGACACAATTCAAGTACTTATAGAATATTTAAATTTGCCCATTATTCTACAATACCGGAATAGTTAAGTATTAAATTTTTGTAGGTTTTTAATTGTAACGCAAATAAAACTTCTTTTCACATCACTGACACGGGTAAATCTTGAGGAATATGTAGATATATCACACTTTAAGATTTAATAATGAGAAAAGAGTGTTTTCCACAATATGGGGTCATTTCGTTTGAAACGTCCACGACGTCATCATTTTTCGCGGAGCGTGTACTTCAAACTGATCTAAATAAATCAAAAGTTCAGAGAGCACTACATTTTTCCATCTACATATTTTGCCTAAACGTAAGAGACCACAAGCAGCGATAACGATGATTTCTAAAGCGTACTAATGAGCAAAATAATAGTTTAAAAAACTAAAAACACGATTTTATTTACTGCATTAAAAAGCCAAAAATAAACAAAATATACTCTCTGTTTACTTCATTAGGGCCTTAGAGTTAGCCATGTTTATAGTTTATTTTCACATATGTATATATGTATAACTGAAAAAGCGTGGCTAGCTCTAAGGCCCTAATGAAGTAAACAGAGAGTATATTTTGTTTACATTTGGCTTTTGAGCCAAGATAAAGCGTATTTTTAGTTTTTTAAACTATTAATTTATTTTTCTCTTTTTAGTTTATTACAAAATATAGAACGAGTTTATTGCGCTATTGAAATAAATCTAATAAACCCAAACTCGATATGTGTACTAGTAAGCAGTCCAAGGTTCCATCAGCCACCTTCCAGTCCCATCATCAGATCAGCTCGATGGTACCATAATATTGTATTGTCATCTAATCTACATATAATTGCCAAGTTTCATGATGATACAAGAATTAGAAGTGCGTGTAATTTAGATTCTTTGATTTTATTACATAGTTCGTTCGTTACAAGGCGACCTAATAAAAGCGTGTTAAAAACAGGACCGCCCACAGAGGACACTCAAGTACCCTCGGACGTTTGACTGTTAATACTTTTACCACACTCTAGTGTCATGGGACGTTTGGGAGGGTACAAACCTTGAGAAAAGGCATCAAAATAAACCGTGGCGTTTTGTGTGCGTGTACGTATTATACGTTTAGAGAGCTTTTTCATAAATTTTATATCTATCGCAAAAGCATGCAGTGATTTTTATAATCAATCAAACCCACAATCTCGCAGGGTACCGGGTTCGATCCCAGGTCAGGTCAATTTATAAAATTTACCTTTTTTTATTTTCTCGGGTCTAGCTGATTATTTTATACAAAATTTTATTTAATACAAAAGCTTCAATTACCTAATTTTGAATAGTAATATTATATAGGTATATAATGTTGAACAATATTTATTTTATGTATATCGTCTGATATGTTTATTGCAGTTTATTTCTTGCTCGTTAATCGGTACATAGCTTCTATATAATCTTTGAAAAAAATCGTAAATAGTTTGTTTTTTAATTCGTTTTAGGGCCGCCATCTATCGAGAAATTAAGCATTTTCTTATACGATTACGGCAGTGCTTTTATAGCAAGACTATTATTATAGATTCGACGCTGTTTATAGTATTTATAACTTTAATTAACTCGAGTCATGCTGTTGCTATTTTGTGAAAACATGAATTATTGGTTGAATTTCAAGATAATTATAAGCGGTCTGCTACTGCTAGACGATTTTCGCTTGAACACTACCTCGATAATGGAGGGAAATTTATTGAGATCGGGGTCATATTTTTCGGTTCGCATTCACCTGCGATATCTTAAAGAATATACCTATTTAGCACACCTACATAATATAATATCGGGTTCGGTTGCCACTCGCGTATTCGCTAATGATAAACGTCCTCTATTATGTTTGCATTTGCATTTATTCTGAGTCTGATTAACTACTAGGTATGATGGTTAGGTACATATGGTATCACAATGATTTTTCTGTTACGGTTTTCTTTGTACGTTCTTTGATTTATTTTATATGGTTGCTATTGTTGTACTTTAATATTTTAAGATTCTACCACCGTAATTTTACATCACATGATTTTTGTTCTTTTATTATCACCAGCAGTGATATTCTGTAAAAACAAACTCACTATCACCGCGGATTCCGCGGTGGAAAGCGCGTTCTCTCCAATTCTTACAGTACCTACCTATGTATTTCATCAAAATTGCCTACGCAAATGTAAGAAAACTGTGTGTGAAATACAGTGAGTATACAGTTTGAGTAGATTTTGTTAAATTAGTTCTTTTGCATAACGTAGTCATATAGTCCAAGTCATGCTTATTTGAAGTCTCATCGAAGTTACCTATTTTAAGTTGAATTGTAGAACTGCAAACGGGACTCTTTCTTTATTAATTTTAGTACTCTGCGCTTATTAATCAATCTATCATATGTATGTTGCGGTAAATAAGGTTAATTTTTATTATTATTATTATTCGCAACTATGACTTCCTTTTAGCAAACAACATGTGATGTGGACGTTTGCTCCGTTCTCCGTGCTTAGGCAGTGCACACCCTTATCCTAGTTTGGGATGAATTTATGTATTGTTTCTGTTTCATTGTAGGAGTCATGGCAGGACCCGAAAGGTGCCGAAACTGGCGCTGTGATCAATGTGATGAATATAGGCAAGCAGTCGCTTGCCAACGGGGGCGTTGTGTCGCGCTATCTTTGCGACCTGACGCATTGCACCAACCTGCTCAACTACGACTACGAGGACGTGGTGCCTAAGGTAAGCGCCTATTAATGTCCCTGCTGCTGGAACACAGGTCTTCACCATGGATGTAACAGGGTGTGGTGATGGGAAGAGGGTGTTCTCGGGATAAATAAGTGTGGAATCAACATTTAATTAATTAATTCAACATCTTATGTACCTACTACTTTTTCAGCTAAGCTCTCTTACTATGTGATTAGGGTTAAGATACCTAATCGTGTCGGAAAATATTATCATCACTTAGAAGACTGGATTTATTTTTCCCCACAGGGGATGGAGGTAGATAAACGGTGTAAATTGACTTACAAAGCACGAAGGTGCTCGAGATAAATTTTTGATCCTCAAGCCATCTGATGCACGGCCACTATGTTTCTTTTGGCTTTACTTCCACGATAGACCGAATGCACTAAACACTTGCGCCATTGAGCTCCTCCAGCTGTTCTCATACGCAGCTAGATATACCATGTAACCCGTTTACATTCAGCCTATTTGCGCGACAACTAGAAGGGACATGGTAATTACAAAAGGCAATGCATATTAATAGATCACTTTCATTGTCGTTGACGCTCACGCTTTCCTTCTTTCCACCAAAAGTCGAGTCGTTTGTTGTCGACCAAAGAGCGCAGTACAATATTATTAAAAAGTACAATAACTTTTGATGTCCTGTTAATTTTCACCACATCTTACTCATGTCATGTGGGACAGGGAACGCTCTGTCCATTCTCTGTCTTATGCACAAAACGTATTATATTGAAAGAAACTAATTTGTTCCAGGTCGTAAACGACAACAGTTTCCAGAGTGCCATAGAGGAGACTACCAGGAAGGAGGTGGACAGAGCTCTGCAAGAGAGCGGCAGTGGGGACGGCGAAGGCGCTTACGCAACTCTGTACAAAACAACGAGGCAGAAGGTGGAGGTGCGCGCTTTGAAAGTGCTGAGCAACATCAGCTCTGCGATGTCCAATGGTGTTCTCAAGTAAGTATTGTCGACCTCTAAGGACAAGTATTGTGGTGGTAATATCTACATGTCCCCATATATAATAATATGGAGGAAAGACATCGCTTGCGTTCTCAGGAGATACCTATGGCATACTCAATAGTATGAAAGGCCTACATCGCGCTTACGAAATTCGGAATCTACACAACCATACAAAACAACGCCCGACCTATATAGGTGGGGCCGTGGCCCCTGAGCTGACATCACCCAGCTAGGTGGAAGATCTTTCCCTTTAGCCTTCCTACAGCCTTTATATGCCTGAAACATCTAATTACACTTAGGAAAGAGAGCAAAAGATTGAGAGTGGGGGAGGCGAATTCGCGTATGCAACTCTGTACAAAACAACGAGACAGAAGGTGAAAGCGCGAGCTTTAAAGTGCTGAGTAACATCAGCTCTGCGATGTCCAAAGGTGGTCCAAGTGAAGCACATACCCTTTTATGTCAAGAATATTCGTTTATGTATAAATAAATAAATATTTCCAACACTCACACCAATTAGCCTAGCCCCAAAGTAAGCACTATAAGGCTTGTATTATGGAATACTAGGGTAACGGATAGAATACATATACTGTACATATATAAGTATATTTATATAGAAAATACATATTAAACATCCATGACTGGAGTACAAATGCTCGTATTCATCACACAAACATCTGCTCCCACCGGGATTTGAACCCAGGACCTCTCGAGTCGGCGAAACCATGAAACGGCGTACAAACCACTCGGCTACGGAGGTCGTCAATGTATTTATATACTTAGTACAACCAAGGCCAGGTTTGCCCTGCCCTGTGGACCTAAGCAGTCATAATGCTCATCAGCGGCCACTGTTAGTCGTGACAGGAAATAGTTCAGATAATTTGTGCCAAGTTTTAATATCATAAATTTGTAGATAATAAAAAAATGAGGTATCCTTCAGACGTATCTCCGGGCAGCATCCGTTCACGAGCATAGCTAGTATGAATCAGCGATCGCTTCGCTCAATTATATTTTAGGGAACAAATGACCCGCCCCGCGTGACACCACCATGCACCCTATAAATATAACATGAAAATTACCCTAATCTTGTTAACATATTTTATCATAAATACATTTGTAGAATTGTCTTACTTTTTCTTTACAAAGGCTTTTCATATTTTTTCTCTCTTTGAGGCAGAAAATTCTCTATGGTACACTTTCATTATTGCTGTTAGCATTGGGATCGACGACCGATCGCTTCCGATCTCGATTCTTAACAAACTTTTCACGCCTATTTACACGCATCGGTAGTTTGCAACCGCAATCAATGTATATTTTTTCTTTAGCAAACATAAAAAGAGAACCGCTTACGAAATCATTTAAGCACATTACGGTAAATTTCATTCAAAAATTATAACCATTATTTTTGATTTTATGATTTTCGATGCCTATGAAAGAGGTATGAGAGTAGTACTACAAAAGGAATTAGCCATTTGAACATTATGTTCTAAAATCAAATCAAAAGCGCCCGCTTTCGCGACTTTCTGTTGCATACTTCCGTCCCATTTCACGAAATCACTCCCACAAATAGCATGAAGACGTTACACATAAAAAATAAATATATTATTATTATAACAATGTACCTTTTTTCGAAGGTTCGTAGCGTGGCTCTGCCATAAAGGCATACGTCGTCTCGCTAAAGGTGGTTGTGCTACTCGCATCGCCTGCGTGGATCGCTTAAGGCGCGCTAAAGCTGCCGGCCTGCCTCTCATATTTGTGCCTCTGCATCGGTCGCACTTGGACTACATCCTGGTGACCTTCGCGTTGTACCTGACTGGACTAAGGCCGCCTCTAGTTGCCGCCGGAGAGAACATGAGCATACCGTTGTTTGGGTGAGTGTTTCATCATCAGCATCAGCCTATTAATGTCCCTCCCCAGCCCCCGCTGATGGGGCACAAGCTTTCCCCATAGGTGGAAAAAGAAGAATGGGTCCCATGACCAACCGCGCGACCCGTGGTTGATTGTTCGGTGCTAATGGTTGCCTTCAAAAGCACGGAGGAGCTCGATATAACTTTTAGTTATTATTCACCTATCCAATGACCGGCTATTGCGATTTATTAACTACCACGATTGCAGACCGAATGCGCTAACCACCGAGGCCCCTCCCGTAAATATCATCATTTGCCAGTTAATGCCTTCTGTACGGACTAAATCAAATGAAATATAGAGAGAATGGGCCATGACACAGAGCAAATACAGAGAAGAGCTGCTATAATAAATGGTGGACAGTTTCTACCAATGCTGCACTGTAGTCACTCGTAAATAGTTAAAACCTCTCCTCACAGGAGGCGCTGATACTGACTATGTTTTTTGTGGCGTAGATAAGTAAACGCGTTAGAAATATATTTTTATGAACCCGTTTGAAACCTGTCTGGAGCGCGAGAAAAGTTGAATAGTCTAGGTATACTCGAGTTTACGTTACTGTACTGCTGCTGTCTAGTGAAGAATAGCAGACCTTATTGGCACACACCAGTGATTATGCCGAAGCAGGGTGATTTTAGTTTCCCTACTCGCTTCTATGATAATGGCGCCGTTGGCGTACCTCAATGTTTTCTGCACTTCTCTTAGGACATCACTTTGTATTTCCTCTGTGAACCATGATGCCTCAGAATGGTCTTATGTGTTCTTGTATTAATACCTTGTTATTTTATTGCTTGTCAGATGGTTTCTACGCGGTTGTGGTGCGTTTTACATTAGGCGTCGCGTTGACGGCTCTAATAAGCATGGCGATCCCGTGTACAAGGCTGCTTTACGGTACGTATTATATTAATTTCAATAAGTTTTTTGTTGCATTTCATAGATTTATATATCGCACATCAGGTGCAATAACGTTAGAAGAACAATGAAATGTCAAATCGAGATTTTGATCACAAATAATGTTAAATAACCTACTTAATTCGGTGCAAAAATGTTCAGAATAATGTTGAAATGAATAATATCTATCTTCGAGAGAGGATTTCTTTCACCCACTCGCCTAATGTTCCTTGCAAGTCCCATCTCAAATCAGTACTTAAATGTCCTATTCATAAAACCGAATTTGCATCATACTCTTTTACGGTATATGCCGTCCGCTTGTGGAACTCGCTGGCAGCAGGAATCAGAGGCAGTTCAACTGTTGCTACATTTAAAAAACGGTTGAAGGAACACTATCTATGCCCTTGAATCACTGTTTCTGAACTGTATTGCTTCTCCTTTTTAACACTTGTATATTTTATTTTAGTATATATATTTATTTGTACATCTATGTAGATATATATGTAGGTTTTGTTTATGTAAGTATTGTATTTTTTGTATTTTGTTATTTATATACAGGAAAAAACATAAAAAAGGGTCGTCAGTGTGAGCCGACGACCCTTTTTTTATGTTTTTTCTTTTCGCGGGCCTGCTAGAAGAAATTTCAATATAAAATGGTAGTGCCCTTGTACCAATTTCTTGTTCCTGTTCTTATCTGTTTTATTGTGTGTGTACTAAATTATTAAATAAATAAATGTTCAGAATAAAAATAATTAAAATACATCTTATGTGCCCTTTTTGTTTTCAAAATTACCCTAACTGAAAATTACATATATTACTAAGCAACAATATTGTAATCAAAATACCAACGGTCTATAACTACATTTCGTATTATTAACCTTATAACTTTTATATCGCTCTCCTGAAAAATAACGTCAATTGTTAGATATGACGTTCTTGCACCAGATGTGCGATATACTTACAAAATAGTGTAAGTCAAGTATGTTATTATATGTTATTTTCATGTAAATATAAAATAGTACAAAGTAGTATTATTTCACTGTCTTCTGTAAGGTGGAGTTTACTTCCCCAGACTGGGGCTATAATTCGAGCCAGAAATCAACTATGCCATACGTCTGTTATAAGCCAATGCTTAGTAAACATTATGTTTATCAGAAAAGAAAATTTTACTCGATTTAATTCCCCCCCGACCAGGCAGCTGAAGGGACTCACTTTGGGAAAATTTCTTTAGATTTAAACAGTTTCATTCTAAAAATAAAAATAAAATTATGTTTATTAATTCACAGTGATCATTTCTTATACTGTCGCTGAGACGGAAAAGGGCACAACCAAAACTATTTGTAAAATCGAGAAATTTAAATCTTTCCTGGACTTTTTCGTCAATCGATCAATGGTTCTATACATTAAATAAATATTTTCAACACCCACACCAATTAGCCTAGCCCCAAAGTAAGCACTGTAAGGTTTGTGTTATGGGATACTAGGGTAACGGATAGAACACATACTTAAATAAGTATATTTTTATAGCAATACATATTAAACATCCATGACTGGAGTACAAATGCTCGTATTCATCACACAAACATCTGCCCCCACCGGAATTTGAACCCGGTACCTCTCGAGTCGGCGACATCATGAAACTCGGCGTACAAACCACTCGGCCACGGAGGTCGTCATACATTATATCGTAACACTTTCTTTGTTCACAGGTCTTACATACTTCACAGCCTGACCGCTAAGAATAATCTGGAGTTCTTCATAGAAGGCGGACGCACGAGAACTGGGAAACCACAGCCACCAAAAGGTATTGTTGAAACTCACTATAACTTTATTTAATTAAAATATGTTTTGGTACGATGAGGCTGGCATATTCGTTACATGAAAGACTATAAATAAATAAAGAAAAAAAAACTTGATTTAATACTTCAACTCAAAATTCTAATAATTGGTAATACTTTTTGTCATGCAACCTTTTTGTTCGGAAGACGTACTGGGTGAGTATTATTTTTGTATTCCATACGACGAACATTCTGAACTTTAAAAGCTATTTATGTAAGGATCAATTTTCCTTCGCTTGCAACAGCAATATTTAACGATTTTTTACAATGAAAACGGTTGTCAATCTTCAACCCAAACACAAATTACTATTATGGTTGTATTCATATTTTTGGATGGTTACTCAATAACGCGAAAAAGGCTGAACGGTTTTGGATGCAATTTGGCACACATTTAGTTTTATTACCTGGATTGACACATACGATCATATTTATCCCAGTTTTTTTTATTTATTTAGTTCAGTTCACAGGCCCAAGCATGAATTTTCGACAGCTCCTTTAACGTATCATCAAATATTGTGTAGTTAAAGCCAGTTTGTTCTTACGTCCAATAGGGGCGCTGGATGGTGTTGATAGAAATTTTAAATATGCGATACCTTTCAGTGTTTCTCCGGGTTACTTTTTGATGTGTAACATCTTTCCTCTCGCTTTCGTGCAATATGTGAGAGTGATTACGTGAAGTGGGACGGAAGTGTGTAACAGGAAGTTAGGCAAGTGCGCGCTATTTGATTTGAATTTAGAACATAGTGTTCAAATGGCTTATTCCTTTTGTAGTAGGTTTTATTTCTTTTTTTACTAATATAAGGTGAGGTTTCGAATGTTACACATCACGCGACTACTGTAAGGCTCGCTCGTTTTTTTATCAATCATTTACTTTTGTTTATCGTAGCCGGCATCCTTTCCGTGATAATGGATGCTTACCTCGACGGTACGATCGACGACGCGTTACTAGTGCCAGTCGCTCTGAACTACGACAAACTGGTAGACGGAAACTTTGTGCGCGAACAGTTGGGCATGCCCAAACAGATGGAGACCTTCTGGTCGGCGCTCAGGGGCATCTGGTGGACCCTGAACACGGACCACGGAACCATCAGGGTGGACTTCAACCAGCCCATATCGCTCAAGGTCAGTACCTTTTTTTTTGTTCTTGGCTCGTACGATTTGTACATTGCCCCAGTGTCAAGTAAAAAAACCGGCCAAGTGCGAGTCAGCCTCGCGCACCGAAGGTTCCGTACAAACTCAATTTATTACCTCTACTCGATCATCAGAAAATAGGTAGTAACTTAAAAAAATTCAAAAATATTTTTTATTATATGATGTAACCAAAAATTTACGGTTTTCGCAATTTTTCCTTTATTTGTACTATATATGACGTTACTTCGAACCAAATTTCAAGATTCTAGTTCACGGCAAGTACCCTGTAGGTTTTGATTCCCGTGCTAGTTTGGAAAATTTGCCGTAATTTGCGGCATAAACGGCTGTATCTTTTGATTGCTTTGGCTTAGAAGTTTGATTTCACAACTGTCACGGACATTAAACATGAGTATTAGATATGAATTTCAGTTTGATACCTCCACGCGTTTCTGAGAAAAACGTACGTACCGTACCTCAAAAGGAAAAAACGGAACCCTTATAGGGTCACTATGTTGTCTGTCCGTCCGTCCGTCTGTCAAGACCGTTTTTCTCAGGAACACGTGGAGGTATCAAACTGAAATTCATATCTAATACTCATGTCTACTGTACCTTGGAGCTGTGAAAAAACCAAACATCTAAGCTAAAGCAATCAGAAGGTACAGCCGTTTATGCCGCAAATTTTCGAAACTCGCACGGGAATCAAAACCTACAGGATAATTCCCGTGAATTTAGAATCTTAAAATTTGGTACGAAGTAACGTCTTGTAGTACAGATAAAGAAAAAATTGAGAAGACCGTAAATTTTACTTGCATCATATTGTAATTAAAAATATTTTTGAAAAATTTAAAGTTCCTCTTTTCTCGTGAACGCGTAGAGGTTTAAATTGAGTTTGTACGGAACCCTCGGTGTGCGAGTCCGACTCGCACTTGACCGGTTTTTTGTTATTTCCAGAATTAAACTGCTAGATTTATCTAGATGAAATAAAAAATATTTATTCTATACCATGAGCATTTTGACAAACATTCATACTTAATTTGTTTTGATACACAAATATATACATGGTGCTGAAAAGATATCTACCCAGCATAATGTCGGACCACCTAACGATGCTTCCGCAGATAAAATTAAATTTATTTGGAAGTGTACAACTGTGGATAATATATAATGTTCAATAATAATCTATAATGGAATGGAACGGAACACAATATAAAATGGAAGCACAGGGACATATACATGCATATATCTACACAAACACAATATATAGGTTTATTACACACGAATGATAAATACATCTTAATCAATTTATATGAATACATACTATACATATTTTAATGATAAATCTATACCTGTTCTCTTATAGTGCGCAATATCAACATCTTAACTAATTCTAAACATAGCGTTTATCACTGTCGTTATATTATAAGATGCCAGAAAATTTTGTTATCTTTGATCGAATAACCTCAATAAGATTTGCGTTAGATTTATCGTACATATTTTAATATTCTAAAACCTGGAGATGTTACGAATGACATAATCGATATTCGATGGCGAATGCAAATGCGAATGTTTAATGTCCGAATGCGAATGTTCAGGTAATTGATTAAAAACCAAACAAATTTTGTAATAATCAACATGTTTATTATTAATTTTATTAATAGCAATATTTTAAAAGACACAGTCTGTATTACGCATTTTGCGTGGTTTTCATCGATAGCCATAAACTTTTTCATATCTCACTTTTCTTACTCGGTGGCATTTGAAATTCGACGTATCAACACAAAAAATTTGACTTGTTAACTACGTAATTTACTGACGTAATAATTATTTGCAACCGAGTTCCAAGCATGAATTTTGACGGCTCAGTAATCGTATCGCATTGTGGAAGTTTCTATCAAAACTAAGCAGCGCCTCTATCGGACGTAATAACAAACTAACTTTTTCCATACAAAATTTGAAGATGACGACGCGATTACGGAAAAATTCGTGCTTTGGACCTCTGATGTAAAGTCATCTCATTGTCAGTCTGATGTAAAGTGAGTAAAGTCCATCCGATCAAGCAGCAAGCGAATGAAAACTGCTCCTAGTGATTGAACGTGTAACCCTTTAATAATATGCGGTGACTTTGATGCGAATGCGAAGGTTCGTAATATCCCTGCTACAGGCAATTCGAACTTTGTAACTATATATGTGTTCGTTAACAATACATACTATGTCATATGTGTGTGTCTATTCATAATATACTGGGAAATAAAATACAGAAGCCAGCTGCTGCTAATTTTATCGCCCTGATAGTAAAAGGTTATCAGAGTATTGGGGGCTGTATTATTGGGTAGTATTGGGCTTCGGAAAACATTGTAGGTAACTAATGTTTTCATACCATAACTAAGAACTATAGGTAGATCGCTTAACTGAGTCCTCGCCTGCGGGGTAAAGGGTGTGGGGGAGGACGAAAACGGGGACCTTCAGAGGTCTCAGTTAAGCGGTTTCCCCATAATCGATAATTAATCAGTGCTAATAGATGTATGTATTTGTACTGTTGCCTAATTATTTCGTGATAATTTCTTAAATTGTTTTTATTTTAATACTAGCGGCCGCCCGCGACTTCGTACCCTTGGAGTTAGTTATTTGCACATACTTTTTGACACCTAAAAGGGAGTTTATTTCTAAATATACGTTATTCGTACACCTCTATACGAGCACTCATGTTAAATTTCAAGTCTCTTACTTCAAAAACATAGGACTTTCATGCAAACTTCCAACCCATGTATTACCACCCCCTAAAGGGTGGAGTAGCGTCACAATATGTAATACAAACTGCACAATTGCTTAATCTTTTTCAATTACGATTACATATTTATAGTAATAATAATCAAAGAAGGCAATTTTACAATTTACTTTCAGTAATAAACTATTCTAAACATAATACACAATTTCTGTTTTAAAGAACTGAACGTCGAACAATGTCAGTCAGTGAGCTCCTTTTTCTTTATGAACACTAGGGATGTTTTCCATAAAAAAATATGAAAGCAATGATTACCTAAGTACTTTTGAAGGATTATATCACTATAAATGAATAACCTCATCGTGATAATTATAAAACATTTATTATTATTAATTTTCTTTTAACTACATAAGAGTGTAAGTGCTGACAGCAGCGATGAAGATGACGATCCTAGTTACAGCTCTGATAGTCCAACTAAATAAATTCAATTTTTCTGTTAAATTATTGACTTCTTTTGTTTTGTTCTTTAAATTAACGAAGGAAAATCGTAATGATGAACGATTCGTCTAATGTTTTTTAATGAATATACAGTATCTTTAAGTACTTTTTCATAATAGCTAAATTCAAATCACATTATGTTTGAAGTTCGTATCGATTCATTTACTTTTATCGATGTTTTAAAGCACGTTACCTCACTATGAAGCTAATACTGAGAGATTTCAAATGTGACTTATTAAATGGGCTCCACAATAACTACCATTTTATTTTGACATTACCGCGGAAATATCGAACTATTTTTATTTCTATAAGCTAAGGTGTCCGCTTAACATAAGGCGGGCCTATACCCTTGTTTGCTACCCTTTGAATATATAAATAAAAGAAAATATTGCCACAGGAACTAGTGACGTCATTCAAGAAGTACAACTACTTGAAGGCGCCTATAGAGAGGCCGCTAGCCGCCAATAATAACAGTCTGGGCGTGAACCTGGACCATCGCATACTGTACAACAACAGCCACTCGAGTCTGTTCGGCGCTGACGTTAGTACGGAACACAAGATCATGGTCGAGGCCATAGGAAGGCATCTTGTGTACGGTAAGAGATTTTTTAAAGATTTCCATAAAAATCATGTATGTATTGTATGGAAATTCGAACAGCGTCGCAACAGACGTAACGAGATTTCATAAATCTTCCATACAAAACTTTTTGACATTTGACGTGAATCGAGATCAAATTCGACTGCGGAAGTTTTCAAATTCGATATTGGTTCGTGCTAAGGGTACTGTTTCGTTTTAAATAGCTGCTTGCCTACCTTCTTAGTTGGGTTTTTATTTTTCTATTCGCTAGCATAATATGTTTAGACAAATACTAAGTAAATCCTACAAATAAGTAAATATAATTATTATATGGATTCGGTACACTCCTATTAAATTTAAAGACTAACTACCTACAACACCGGCGAAGTATCTTGTCATTTGGTCACAAAAGTAATAGGAACAAACCTAACTGTTAATTAAATATTCAGAATAAATTATTTAAAAGAACGTCAGAAAAAGTGAGAGTTACGCTATTGAAAGAGAGATAACTTTTAGGTGAATATAACTGTAGGTTAGTGGTGCTATGCGATCGGAATTGCACTTAATTGTGTCGTAGCGTGGAGTCCCTATTACTTTAATTGATTTTCCAAAGTGGACCTTCTGTACATGTACTATTATATATTCTGTGGTGTTGGTAATGACTTGTCCGCACTGCGATATTTCACCGCCCGATTTTTATTCTCGTGTATTGGAATTACTGATAGTAAGCATTGCGATTAAAATTTCATTCGATTTTTCTCCGTTCTATGTCTCTGTAACCGGTGCTCAATCTCCCCTTTGTCGTATTATGACTCAACTTAATGCACCCGAGTTAATGAGCCTGAATGTTATGTGTATGCAGATGGATGGAATAAAATAAAGTCTGAATGTTTATTGTTTGGCGAGAAAAATAGTGTGCATCCTAATTTTTGTAATTTATTTGATATGTTGATGTTTTTTTACAAAATGCTGTAAATTGTACTATGCCGTGGTAGTTACTCGTCGAAATAAATAAATCTAAAATGAGCAGTAACAGGAAATCCGCAGCGAATCGCGTTCAATTTTCATGAAATCCTAGATTTTTATGCTGCGCGATTTTTTACCGCTAGTGCGACTACTCTTATAAAAATTAATAAATAAGTTTGTTACAGAATTGCGACAGTAAAAACACGCGATGAAATATCGCAATGCGGACAGGCTCTAAGGCCCTTTTCACATGCACACGGTCACGGCACGGCCGCCATGCCGTGCAACCGTGCTAGCTCTTTCACATGTATACGGCTTACACACGGTCGCCGGCTATGGATGTTGCAGTATTATCGAGAATTTTGGGGAACGACGACGTCTTTTATCATGGAACAAAAAAATCTTATCATTATCATCTAATTCTTCGACACTACTATTTAATCCTATACATACTACTTTCCACGCTTCTTTTGTCTCGTTCCTGTTTTTATAAGACGCGATGATTTTATCCCATAAAGTAGGACGCGCTTCAACTAGCGAAATCAACACATCAACATCGCTTTCGACAGACATTCTGCAACAATCGTCCGTCCGTTCCCCTATGACTTTAGCTGACGAATGGTATTTGCGCTCGCCGTGCTGTACCGCGCCCGTGTTCATGTGAACGCGTCTATACAAGTCCATACAAGACTATAAAGACGGTTGCCGCGTCAAAACCGTGCTTATAGTAGATAAGGACGGCTGACACGCGGTCACGGCACGGTCGCCGTGCAATGTGAAAGCTCTCATTGTTGCTCGTACATTACTATTTTACTCGGCACGGCAACCGTGCCGTGTCCGTGCACATGTGAAAAGGCACTAAGTGTTGTGTATTGTTGTCTACAGACGCTGCGCAAGCGTCGGCGCTGATGTGCACCAACGTGGTGGCATACGTGTTAATGTCGGAGCAACGCACGGGCTGCACCCTGCCGCAGTTGCACGCCAGCGTGCACGCGCGCGGGAGACAGCTAGCGCGCGCCGGCCGCGACCTCGGCTACACCGGCGACGCCACGCACGTCACTGCACACGCGGTCAGCTCCCTCCCTATTTATATAACCGGCCGCAGCTGCACGCCAGCTTTAAAAAAGAAATTCCCATACAAACTTCCACCCTCCTTTCTCCCCCGCCTTAAATGGTGATTTCTATGATAAAAACTGTCCTATGTCCTTTACCGGAACTCAAACTATCTTTATACTAAAATTCATCTAAATCGGTTCTATTGTTTAACGTAAAGAGGTAACAGACAGACACTTATAATATTAGTATGGAAGTACGGTTGCAGGAAGTCCTAAAGGGGAGATTTTCCTTCGGGCTGGACGATCTTAGCCCAGGCGTTGCGACCCAATTGATGCTGGTCAGGGTCCGTATAATAATTATCTGATTGTTTTAGCCTTGGAATTCATATAGCACGATGTAGGTTTTCCATACTATTCGTCGATTTCATAAGTCCATTATTGAGCGCTCATCGCTCTCGCTATCATCTCTCGACAAGACAAGTACTCCATATAGGCGCCGCCACTATAAAAAAGCACAATATAGAAATAAAAAACTTCCTTATATCAATTGAACTATGTTGTCTGAAGACATAATAGTCACAGGATAAGAAAAAACCTAGTATATATATTTTATGGTATTATCTTAAGATTAACGCAATCAAAGGATCCCCTTTTATCAAAGTGGTTGCATAAAAATCTGAAAACAAACTTAAATGCTCATATATTTGTTTTTATGTTTGCTCATACAGTTGGAAATGCTTGGACGCGGACTAATACGCAAGGAGGGTAGCGGAGACAAGACGGTTATTAAACCGCAGCTTTCTATAGCGGCGTCTATAGAACTATCCTACTATGCCAACACAGTGGGCACGCACTACGCGGCCAACGCGATCATGGGTGAGTCACGCTATTTGGGACCTTATGTCCATGTAAAGAACCTTTTTACTCGTTCTTAAATTTGTAGTTTGTATAGCTCGCTGCTGTCGGTAAAACGGCGACCATTATACGCAGTTACTTCATAGATGGCGCTATGTGTAACGGTGGCTAACTAAAATGATAAATAAAGCAGATTCTGTTGTTTGACAGAATATAAAATATTAAAAAACGTTAAAGTTAAATATTATTGTAAAGAAAGGAATTGTTATAGTAAGTAATGGACTTCGTTTTTAAGACAATAATAATTTGGTTTAATAGGAATGTAATAGTACAATATGATATAAGTGCGGTAAGTTGATTACAGCCGAGGACGATATTGTTATATATGGCTATAAGAAGGCAGAGGCTGTAATTATCAAACCGCACGTATGTCATACGACGTTTTATAACACTTTTGCCCTCGCAAATGAGGAAATAATATTACCTGCGTACGTACTTTCTGAAAATGAATATCGACGGTTCCCGGGCTATTTGTATGAAGCGACATTTTGGGCGAAATTGACTTATATACATATTTGAAATCAGCGAATTTTGGGGAAAATTGGGTTTGGTGACGATCTGAGCACTTTTTTGTCGCTCAATACTATCGCATTTTCGGAGCCCATTTTGCACTGCGATGTATGTACCGACACAAAATTTTGACAAATTTAGGAACTGTGTACTTAAGCTCACTATGAAATACCAGAGAGTTATTTAAACCCTCTTTCCTGGATCAACAATTTACAGACAATGTACGTTAAACCAATTAGCCTCACCTTATAAATATTTTGAAATGTCGCTTCATACATTTAGCTTTACTTTATGAATACATAAGATTGTCGCTTAATACAATTAGCTTTACCTTACAAATACATAGTAAAGTCGCTTCATATAATTAGCTTTACCTTATAAATACATAAGAATGTCGGATAATACAATTAGCTAGATACTTGAATTTGCTAGATGTGGTCACTTCAAACACAATAGTAAAGTCGCTTCATACAATTAGCTTTACCTTATAAATACATAAGAATGTCGGATAATACAATTAGCTAGATACTTGAATTTGCTAGATGTGGTCACTTCAAACATTAAGCTTATATGTGAATTTTAATATGACGGTCGCATGAGCCATTTAAGGATTCAACATTGAATGTGAAGACGGCGAATAAACCTACAGTCCTTAATATTATATTAAACTTGCACTGTCGCTTCAATTACTACAAAAGCAAAATTTTTGTACTTCAAACAAATTTAATAACAGAAGAATAACAGAAGAACAAATTTAATAAGAAGGCGCTTGACTTGGAATATCTTGGATCCTGGTGGGCTGATCAACCAGTTGTTTCAAGTCATGCGTGAGAGCGAATGTGTGAGCAGAGATCCCTGCATGGTCAGTTTTGGAAGAACTTAACTACAAATTGTGGTGAGCATTAAAGTCCCCCAAAAACACCAATTCTGCATTGGGAAATTGTTCCTGCGCGTCATCTGCTGCCCGCCTAAGGTGCTCAAAAAGTCGAGTTGTCTCAACATCGCCGGTGTGAGATCTGTAGAGGCACACGTAGACTCTGGCCAGGGGGCCAGAGTCGACGTGTACCCCCAGCATGGAGAAGGAGGGATCTTCCAAGCAGCGGAGACGGCGACTACAAACATCCGTCCGAACATACAGGCATAAGGTAGCCTGTGTCAGCAGGCGGAAGTATTTGTGTCTCCGTTAGGAACAGCAATGCTGGCCGTGCTGTCTCGAGATGGTGGTGGACAGCGTTGAGGTTAGAGTGGAGTCCGCGTATGTTGCAGAACTCGACCTCAAATAGCGTTGATGGCGTGGGGGTGTGCACCGCTGTACGTCCAAACTTTGTTATTGAGGCTGCCATGGTGGAAATGAAAGATACAGACGCGAAAACGAGCGGATGCTGTCGCGAAGAGTCCGGGCAAATAAGGGAGGTTGGTTTTCTCTGCAGAGGAGATGCGCCGACCCGCCGGACGGAAGGGCCCCCGCACCGCCCCGGGAGTGGCCGCCGGGACCCCATGCCCCGGTCACCAACCGGCACGACGGTCCACCCCGAGATTAAACGTGACTTGATGGGGCAGCCTCGCGAACTGGTTATGAACGCTTGGGCCCCTGTACTGTGCCACGGGCGGCCAGCGGGACAGCCGTTTCTACGGGTCTCCCTGGCCGATGGGTCGATGCAGTCCTCCCGGCCTCGGTTCGACGGATGCCTCCTCTGGACCGAATCCTTCGCGACAACTTCCACTCGAGCTCTGGTTGTACGCTGGCTGACCCCGAAACGCGCGAGAAGCACTTCACGGGTTTTTCACCATGCGCACGGTGGTAACAAACCAGGCGGGTGTTAGGCACCCTACCACCAGAAGAGCGGATGGAAGCTCCGACATCCCTTAGTCGCTTCTTACGACACCCACGGGAAGAAAAGGGGCGGTGAGTTGTTAGAGAAAAAATTATGTGACACTGGCGTCATCCCAAGAATATTTCATTCAGAATATAATAACCTTCCATGCAATAATGTCAAAGATGCACTCATAGATACTGATATTGAAGACGAAATGGAATAGCCAAATTAAATCATTTTTTCGGAGAAGGAATAAAAAATAATAAGAATGTTTATAGAAGAAGAAAAAAGAGTAAAGAAAGAAGAAATTATACCTAAAAGTATTAAGGAAAGGTTTGGTTGAATTTTAATTATGGCGTTATTTTTAATAATTGTGATTAATGAAACAAAATGTGATTGTAGTACAACTACATTTATTATTGTTTAAGAAGTTTTTTGGAGTTTACTTCTTAAGAATCGATTTGCATATATAAGGGGCCCGGTATGAGAAAAATGTGAGGAGTAAAATCTATCGATGAATGACATTAATGATCTCGTTACGTTTTTGTGCGCAACCTCATCTGCTCACCTTTCACTTTTAGCCATGCCAACGGATAAAAAACATTAAGTTGTCACACATGTCAATAAAATAAATAAACTAAAAATAGATAAAATCGGAGCAAAATTAATGAAAACAAATAAATAACAGAATATAGAGAAATGCCGGTAAGTGTCCAGCACTCTGGAATTTTCAGTACAGATGGAATTATAATACATATTTACAAAATGATGACTAGTGTGTGATATTTTTGAAATTGTGTGTTTCCAGAAATATATAATAAAATATATGATGAATATCACTGATGTTAGATGATAAAATGTGTGACATGGAACCTATGATAGTCGAAACCATGGGACGATTTCTGAGGTTTCTCTACTTGTAACCGACTTCTTCGTCCTTGATTTTGTTTTGTGTCTGTTCAAAGACAATCGTTTTTAGAGTGTAAACTCCGGTCGTGCGTCGGATTTGACACACACAATTTTTTTTTTGTTAAGGAAGAGAAACTAGGCACAGTTCCTAGATAATGAAAGAAGATTCAAATGTTTTATTTTTTGTTATGTTTTTAATTTGAGAAAAGTAGGTGTATGGAAGAATAGTAAGTAAGTAAGTTTTATATCTCATTTCCTAATTATTTACAAGATAATTATTCCTAGGTACCTTTAAATTCAACATTGTTTTAACCGCCCATTTCAGAAAACTTCATTACTCAGGCACGATTAGAAACAAATTAGTAAAAATAAAATCGGCGCTTAAACTAAATAGGCTATACACGAAATTGTATGGTATATGGCATTTAAATCATTAGGTCAGGTATGAAATATGAACAAATCTTCAAGTTCATGCATTTAACCTGGAGCTATTATTTTCAGTACTAGGCGGTTAAGTCATTTAACCTAGAGTAAGAATTAATAAACCTAGGCGGATAAGTCATATAGCCAGGAACAACAAATACTTATCCTAGGCGGTTAAATCATTTGGCCTGGAATAAAAAAACTAAATAAAAGGATCATTTTGTATTAAACGACATGTATCTTTGTTAATAATAGGAATATCAGAAAAAACCTAATCAGATTATGCAGAGTATGTACTTAACCTAATCAATAATTTGTTTTTTTTTTAAATTTAATAATTTGCCGAAGTTATGATTTTTTTTTCAAAAATCAAAACTTTAAACAGCTCTGGTGTAAAGTTTACAAAATGTCGCTTAATACAAATAGCCCGGGAACCGTCGATATGTTTGTTTTCCATAAGATGAAATTTTGATACGCTTGAATGTAAGTATCTATCCGTGGATTTTTCGGGCAAGAGGCTTAGCTTAGCCTTTTTCGACTTCAGGCGGTGTCAAATTAATAAATTCATTACTACTTGACTACATTTTCAAATAAAAACAATACAGCGAATAGAAAGGGAAATAACTTTTTTCACAGATTAGCGATGCGCGCGCATCAATGCTTTTATTAGGCAAAGGAACAAAAAACAGCCAGTGTTACTAATAAAGTAAATTAATATTTTTGTAAACTTGTTACCGATACATGGTTGTAATTTATTGTCAAAATGAATCAAATTAAAGAATTAAATTTTTATATATTATATTTTATCTCCCAAAGTTAATTTTATTAAGAAAATATGGGCTACCTTTCAGACATAAGAACTCTTTGCTAAGATTTAAAAAAGTATTTATTATATAAAGTTTCGTTTTTAGACAGAACATAATAAGCCGTGCGTTTTACTTTACATTACCGCATGCGTGAGTAATGTGATAGATTATGATATTGTAATTGGTGCAATAAGAGAAGCTTTACGAGCAAATGTGTTATAAATGTAATTAAACAATGTATTTTGGGGACCGGGACTGAAGTCTCCTTTTAAGCTACTAGGCCTGTGCCAGGAGACACAGCATTATTGAAATATTCAATCGGTGTCGACGACTTTCGTGACGTGTCGAATTGCGTTCGATGTCCAAAAAATGAGAGTAATAAAAAAGTACAAATGGCTCCGTGGGTACTTAATTCCATTATATGTAATTGAATTTCGGGGTAATTTGTAGGGGAGGGGGAGGGGGGGCTCCCCCCGACCCCCCCGCCATAAAAGATTTTTGGCGGAAATGCAGTTTTTTTTTTACCTAACCTAAAAATTCATTAAATCTGTTATATGTAGTGGAATTTCAGGGGGATAGGTATTAGGGAAGACCCCTCAGAGGGAAGGGTCGTTTTTTTTACAGAAATGATAATTATAAAAAAATAGAGGGGTTTTAAAGGTAAAACTGTACTTCCAGGGCCTAGAGGTGATATTTGATTTTTTTGTAAAAAAAGTCTCTATTAACGAATTTTTCTCTCTGGCGCTTCGCCGGCCGCTGCCGCGGCACGCTCGCTTCGCTCGCTCGGCTCGCGCGTTAAGGTCACAACACTAACCTAACCTAACCTAGTGTGAAGTATCACCACACAAGTGGCTCATTAGAGTCCAAAACTCGCACTACACTCGACTCTTCAGGCGATGGGACAGCAGAACTCGAGGCCGAAGGCTTTGAGGATGCCATGGTAGTCAGACGATGTTAATATCAACAGGAGTACGAAAAAGCTCTTAACTATGACGAACACAAACACTGACTGACAGATCTCATTAATGGCGGTAAATTGTCACATTTTGACAATAGTACCAACATAATAAACTTATATTTACCATAGACAACGAGAATCATGTTATTTTTGCATAAAAAAATGGCAGCACTGATCAAAATTGCTGTCAAAATTGACTCATAACCTACAAAAATATTAATTTTCAATAATTTTTTTCTCGAGTTCTATTCGTTTCCGCCTAAAAAGATTTCGTGTATGTGTTTTTAATAGTTAATACTTTGCGTGACAAAAATTTCAGCTTGCAACTCAATTACATATAATGGAAAGCTGAGCCGCTCCGTGTACCATCATCTAATCATTTACATTATGACCTTGTATTAGCCAATCAAAGCGCTGTCCCTCTGCTTCGTATTGCCTCGGGTAGTTGCCACAATGTATTTTATACTGAAAATATAAAGTTAGGCGTCTACGGGCTTTGTAGCCGGCGGTGAAGCCTATAATTGGTTATCCTACATAAAAAAATATAAGTAACAAGCGTCGTAATTTAAGTATAGAGTTATGTACGTAGCTACGCCACAAAAAAATAGAGTCAGCCTGATACCAGTACCTCGGGTGCTGAGTGGCTAGAAATATTAATGTGTGACGTCATTGCAACATTGGTAGAAACTATCGTACATTTAATACAGTAAAGCAGCACTTCTTTGTAAATACATGCTCTATATCCATGGTTAAAACTATCCATGGATTTGATTCAATCAAAAGGACATGGTAAAATTTTGTATGAGCGACTGCCCTAGCAATGTATAAATACTGTACTTAGAAATATTGAATGGTAAATGGCTGAATATTTATAATTTCTATGAAGAAAGGCTCAGGAGCTTTTGATAAAGTCACAATCTTGAAAATTATGAGAACTACTATGTCATTACCTTACTACAGTTGATAAAAGATGTTGACAATTATTTACAGAGTCATCAATTTCGCATTTTATTAGATCCTTTCTTCCCATTTCTCTGATTAACTCTTCACAAAGTTTCTTTAAAGCAAATATAAATACAAATAATTTGTTGGCCTGACAGGAAATCTGTGAAGTTTTATTTTCTCCATTTGCAAAAATTAAAGGATTAATTATCATACAGCCTTGTCTCAAGCCTAATCAGAATAATAAAATCTATTATTTTAGGCCTTCCGTGATTTGTTGTAACAAAAATTGGGGCCAAATATGTCATATAATAATAATAATAATATTGTTTATTTCGATATAAACGTTTAAACAGACATGGAAGTCAATTTTTATACTTTTAAATATTTGATTATTTCACGAAAGTTGTATGAGAATAATAAACACGTAATAATTAATAAAAAAATATTGTAAAGTTACGGGCTAGTGCGAAATATTTATACACGTTAAGGGCAGTTTCTTAGCCATGTCCTTATATTAAGCCATTGGTGTCGATTCTGGCATGATTTTCTAAACTAAAACTAAATTTAACACCAGTTTCTCCATTTCGTTATGTACAGACAATGACAAGGATACACTATTGTCAAATTTAAGTTTAGGTTAAGAGAATCATGCCTCTTAAACAGCCTCAATGTCATTAAAGTTCTCTTAATTAAAGAATTAAGAGAACTTTAATGACATTGAGGCTAAAAATAAAGATTTTATTTTATTTATTTTATTCATTCGGTATACATAACATGTTAAAATCAACAAAGTACTAACTTATAATAATTGAGGAATCGATCAAAATTGCAACACTTAACATGCATACACAAAAAATTTCGTAATATAAAACAAAGGACAATATATCGATATTAACTGTTACATATATTACATTTATGAAATTATATTACATTACAATAAAAACAGAACATTAGCAAATCAATTAAATAAGATATTATCAAGTACATATTTAATTAAATAAATCAAGCTAAAAAAAACACTTATTATATTGAAGCGCTTGGCCTACGATTTCTAGAACACATTTGTTAAATTGATTCGGATTGAGACTAAACATATCCACATTCTTATGCACACCAACTAACTCATTATAAGCACGACACATCCTGACTATTGGATTGTAATAGGAAGTATTGTTAGTGAATACTTGAAGCACAAAAAAATTAGGACTACGAGACTTGTATCTAATATTAAAATTCAGAAGCGAGAGAAGCGATGGACTATCCATGTGCGAGTTAGCGATTTTATATAGACAGTTTAAATCAAAATACTTACGACGAGACTCAAGGGACTGCATATTAAACCTTGTCATCCTGTCCTCGTAACGCTTAATTTTTCTGTGAAACCCATATCGATAGCAGAGTATCCTGAAAAATCTACGTTGAACTCCTTCTATGCGCTGCACATGAACATTGTAAAACGGTGACCAAATGACGGTATTAAATTCGAGAACACTTCTTACAAGAGTTTTATATAAGTAAATTAGACTTTCTGGATTCTTGAAGCCTTTGGTACGACGCAAAATAAAACCAAGTGTGCGATTACACTTGTTTATTATGTGATCATAATGAGTTCGGAAAGTAAGCTTCTCATCAAAGAAGACACCAAGATCCCTGACAACATTCCTTCGCTCGAGAGTATGTCCATGCAATTTGTAGTCATAAAGAAGTTGGTGCTTTTTATTAAAATTCTTAACGGACCCTTGTTTTTTTTTTTACTTTGGAAAAGACTGATCTATTTTTAACCTTACAGCGACCGCATTGGAGAGCATACTGCAATCACCAGACGCGGACCAAGACATAGTGCGTCACTCGGATTTGCTCGAAGCCGGCCTTCAGCTCAGCGAGGTGCTCAGCCAGGAGTTAATCCTCTGTCCGCCCTGTGTGACGGTCAGCGAACGACTGACCGACGCCATCGACGCCCTAATCGCAGATGACGTGCTGGCTAAAATTGAGGTAAGAGAAATTATATCTATTGACTAGCGGGTGCCCGCGACTTTGCCTGCCTTGTAAAAATTGGTTTCCCATACAAACTGTCAATCCCCTTTACACCTCCCTAAAACGATGATTTCTGGGATAAAAACTATCCTATGTCCTTTCCCGGGACTCTTAACTATCTCTATACCAAATTTCATCTAAATCGGTTCAGCAGCCTAAGCGTGAAATGTGTTTTGTAATCATCACGTGTGGAACTGAATTTTTATTTTTTATATCAGAATGGTAGAGTGGTGTATACCCCGGGTTTCAAGGTGTCGCCTACTGAGAGGTCCCAAGTTGGAATCCCAATGAGGCAAATGTTTGTATGATGAATACGACCATTTATACATATGTCAAGGATGTTAATACAGTGCTTTACTTTGGGGCTAGGCTAATTGGTGTAAGTGTTAGAAATATCTTCTAATATATAAATTTCGAAATTTTTTTAATATATGAAGATATTTCTTAAGCACGGTGTTACTAACAAAACTCCTCTCCGAAACGGCTTGACCGATTCCTATGAAATTTTGTGTGTATATTTAGTAGGTTTGAGGAATTAAATTATTTTCTATACCCCTAAGTGAGAAGGGTGGTCCATCCCTAAGTATCTTTTGGTTTATAAAGATACTTTTTTTTAATTCGACATTAAAAATATACACAACCCTAAATTTTCACCCTTCTACCACCTACCCCTATATTTAGGCGGTACGAAGTTTGCTGGGTCAGCTAGTTTTTTTTTTTAATCATTTAACTGCTAGGTAACACACGCATTAGCAACACTAAAAACAACGACTTGACTCAGTCTAGTGAAATATCTATAACTAGTTTTGTTACGTGAGCTGGATCAATGCAAGCCCAACAGCGGGGGGAAATCGGCAGAAGGGAAATCTGTGAATGCCTACTTCCTTCCTGTGGGCCAAATCGCCTAACGAGATTGCAATGGCTATCGCTATCGCATACGATTTCATTTCGTTATTTCTGACCACCGAAGGTTGTCGTATACCTCACGCTCATTTTTTTTAATATTGTTATTACCAATGCAAAAGAAAAAAAAAAACGAGCGTGAGGCACAAAACCATCGGCGGTCAGAAATAACAAAAATGAAATCGTAAGCTATAGCGATAGCAATCTCGTTAAGCAATTTGGCCCACAGGAAGGGAGTAGGGATTCACAGCTTTCCCTTCTGCCGATTTCCCCACGCTGTTGGGCTTGCATTGATCCAGCTCACGTAACAAAACTAGTTATAGATATTTCACTAGACTGAGTCAAGTCGCGCGAGTGTATGTAAGAGACCAAAAATGCCAAAATGTTCTGTAATTTCCTGTAAAACATATCTGGAACATCAAACTTACAATAGGATGATGTTAAATTTCACATAAAAGACAAATTATTAACATACTAGCTGTGTCTCGCGGTGTTACCCGCGTTGTATTACGGATATTATCCCGCAGTAAAACGTAGCCTATGTGTTATATCCAGGATATCTGCTAACTCCACACCAAATTTTATTAAAATCTTAGACGTGAAGAAGTAACAAACATACACACTCACAAACTTTCGCCTTTATAATGGTATGGATGGACTGAAAAGGTAAGATTTTAAATAAAATTCTAATAAGTAAAATTAAAAAAAAGAATTCACATATATGTTCAAATAAGACTGTACAAAACGGTCGATTAATCCACACCAAATGTTCAACTATTATTTATTTGCAAATATTTATTTATTATCATATCACAATAGTTTTACTTATTAAAGATTTTATGAAAATTTAATAAATTTGAGGCTGCGGGCCCCAATTTATTGTCTTAATTTCAATAAGTACAGCGCTATTTTATGTTTATTTATGGGTAAGTAATGATTATTATGATGTTTATAACCATACTAGCTGTGCCCCGCGGTGTTACCCTCGGTTAATTAGGGATATTTTCCCGCAGTAAAACGTAGCCTATGTGTTAACCCAGGGTGTCAGCTAACTCTATATCAAATTTTATTAAACTAGCAAACCAGTGAACCAAATGATCACCAAAAAAAAAATGTATTTAATTAATTGAGAACTTCGGAGATTTTGTGTGGTTTCGTTTGAAATAGAAATCACGTGATTTCTCGAAAACCGGAAGTGCTACGTTACTCACATCCGGTTTGTAGTCTTATCAGACCATTCTTAACTTATAACTTAAACATTCTCTATATCTATCTCTTACGGTTTGGCCGCTGAAACAGCACCACGGACGGACGGACGGACTTGTCTATTAGATAAGAGATTCGCTCCAGCTGTTTAGACGTGAAGAGGTAACAAACATACACTCACAAACTTTCGCCTTTCTAATATTAGTGTGACTTAACTGTCAAAATGTGCTAAAATGTGTCTTGTTTTGAAATAAACAGAAATATATACCATAAAGTGATTTTCTAAAATATAACGTCAATATGATTGCAGCCTTGGTGTCTAATTTTTGCCTATCCGGTTTGAGCGGCTTTTGCAGAAATTGGTAACAAAACTCAGTGTTCAGAAGCTGCTAGTTCTATTTTTGGTTCTAAATAATTTTCTGCAGAACTTTATCCTCCATACAAATGTCCAATGGAGTGAATAATATAACCTAGATTGTGAATTTATATGATATTAATATACACAGAAGAAGTCAAAAAAAACAATTGCTATGGTCAATAGTCAGATAAAATAAAATTGGGGGTCAACATTGAAAAGCTATTATTTCCCATCATGAATGTCCTCCAAACTCTTAGTTTTAGTTTTATTAATCTTTATTCAGTCATTCTGAATATTAATGTTTTTTTTTTACTTATGAAATTGTCCTTGCTGTTGTGGAATTCAATACGAATGTTTCAGTTCCTGATATTTTTACTGATATCCCATCCACCTTATTGTGGTAATGTATCGATAAATTGGAGTCAAGCCCTTTTGACGTAAAGAACGTGTCAAAATGTGATTCGTAACTTATGTTTACACAACAATTTAAATATGTATGCAGCATTTGACTGTGTATTGTGTCATTTTTGATTTGCAAGTATAATATAGTATATTACGATTTAGTTTTTGCGAATATTTATGTTGGACTGCATTTGTGTGCGTATTCCTCCCCTCCCCCCGCAAAAAGTGGCAGAATGATTGCAGTAGTATTATGTCGCTATGGCTACTCCCCTTCTGGCCGTGTCGGCCGTGTTGCTCTATGGCTAGATGTTTAAATCTAGACATACATTATGGGTTACCTACAATGCGAAGAGATGGCGCTTCCTTGCAGCCTAAAAAATACTAGAAGAAATGCGACACGGCCATTAAGGTCGCGGCAGCATAATTGGGCAGTGCATGCATCCGCCGGGACAGCCGAGGGTGCGAGGGTTCGAGTCCCGTCTGTTTCCTGGACCTTGCGTCGAATTTTTTCTAGTACAATTTTTCATTAGTTTATTTATATGTATTTACCCAGGTGAACCCTGGTTTGGAGGAAGAGCGATGGTCACGTCGGTTTGCGCAACAATTGGAGGAAGACTTCGACGAAGAAAGGCCGGACCCTACTCTACACATCAAGTACAGAATTAACTGGCATCCCGCTGCGCTGGCGGAAAGGTTCATCTTTGTATTTATACGCCTAGATCATCACCATCAGCGTATTAATGTCCCCACTGCTGGGGCACAGGCCTTCCGTATGGATGGAATAGGGATATTGGGTCAGGTTCCACCACGTAGGCCCAGTGCGGAATGGTGGGTGCTAACGACCGGGGATGCAGCTGGGACCAACGGCTTAACGTGCCTTCGGAAGCATGGAGGAGCTCGAGATAATTAATTTTTGGTTACCCATACAATGACCGACCACTGCGAAAGTTGCTTAGCTTCAACGATCGCAGGCGAACGCGCTAACCACTTGCGCCATCGTGCTCCTCATTGATTGTACTAAAGCAGTCAATGTGTGCGTGTGTGGCGACGAGCATATCTACCAAATTTTTTGTGCCACTTCCGTGCAGATAATACTGTATCTAGGGTGTACACAATCAATTAAGGATAACGGTACATAGCCTATATTTATACGGTATATAGACATATTGTTAACATATCCTTATTTTATAAATTTAATATTTCTATATTAATAAAAAAGAATTCCCAAAATGTATGTACTTAAATAAATAATGCAAATACGAATAGCCGTGTGAAGTGCCGGCTTGGCATATAGTTATTATATTAGAAATATTATCTTAAAAATGTCGCCGCATTCCAAAACGTGGATTAAAGTTAGTCATGGTTTACTAACTAATATTATCTCTGTCTTCTTTTTAGCAAACAAAAGTGACAGCATCAGTTTTAAACCAAGTTTAACTTTAGTCAACGTTCTGTAATAAGGCGGGTAAAATTTACTATTTAAATACCTATTTATATCGACAAAGAAGGGGTTTTAAAGGTCAAAATTCACATTCCCATTTAGATTAAAACAAAAGGGGAAGATACTCGCGGCTCAAAAATGATCCTCTTAAATTGTGGTGCATCACCATAATTCGCTTTAGTCACAATTGAACAATCAAACACGCTGCATTTGTACTCAATATTGCGTATATTCTGTGTTATAAAGATAAAACCAATGCCTTCGATGCTTTAATAAAGAACAGAAATAGTTCAAAATCAAATAATAAATGCCTCGGCAACACTTTTCATTCGTAAAGCTGTAAAAAAATTTTTCTTAAAAATCACGGTTTGTCGTGAATGTTATTTACGTAATCGCCATTTTGTTATCAGAAAAAGGACAATAATACAGCCCAGCCGTACGGACTCGGAATTGGACACGCCGTTTCGCTCGCGCTGCGTTGAAGCGTACAGTTCTGTCTCGCTCGCTCGATTGAATGTTTATATACAGACGTGCGCGTGTGAGAGTTGCTTAATAGTTGAGTCGGATCATATTTTATTTGATGCTAGTATGAGCGTACCGTATTTTCCCTTTTTGTTTTAATCTAAGCATTCCCATAAGATTTTGTGTTTAAAAACCAACTTTCTAACGACGTATTGTTAACAGGCGGCGTCTCCTACTAACGGTGCGTCCCCTACTAGAGGCTTACGCGGCCACCGCTCGGTGCGTGCGAGACTCTCAACACTCGGCCCTCGTGAAGGAAACACTCGACTCGCTCGCCGAAGACTTCTCGCAAGGAAGACTACCCTACGGTCAGTATCATAGACATAGATTGAAAAAGATACCGCAAGTGTATGTACTTCGCTGTTTCATACTGTGATACTACTGATTCAGTTATCACTTAAAACTAGTAGTAGTAAAGGAAACCTTAAACTTTTCTCTGTGCCCGGTTGCAACAATACTTTTAACAAGTACAACAAACAAGGGGTCATGACCCCTCCCTGGGCTGGGTACAGATGGACCAAACCCAGGGGGATTTTCTTTAAGTACTTTCAATATTTAATATACCACGACTATATAGTCCGGGAGGTAGCGTTGCATTTTTGGCAGTGATTTTACGCCGACTGTTTGCCTTCCTTTACTATTTATCGCGAACTACTTATAACTGAACCAAGCGTCAGCTGGCGCACCCGCGGTGGGTGTGGAATTGGGAGGTTGCGGAAGTGGTAAAAAAAAATAAAAAATTAAGTAATAGTACGCCAGCTCAAACTTTTTTCACGAATAGTTGACATCATACTGAACTGAAAAAAAATCGTCAGCTGCATCGTGAAGGGGGGATTATGCGTCAGCTGGCCGCATGAATTTGTAAAAAAAAAACGTAAAATAAAGTTATAATACGTCGGATGAAATTGAACTACGTGATTCTTTAAATAATCATAAGTACGAAAATAACAATCAGCTGCGTATATAGCGGTGGAAAGAACGTCAGCTGACGCAGTAAAGGTAAAGATTATTCTAGCAATGGACAGAATCTTTCTCGATATATTTTCGTTTCGTTTTATTTGTAACTAAATAAAAGAAAATCGAGGGCAAAATGAAAGAACCCAAAATATATTAAAAGTTAATATGAACAAAATCGAAATATAGGAATAAAAAGATCGCGAAAGTTATTCATCGTCGATGGTATCGCTATCGTCATCGTTCTCTGACGAATCATCGGCCGAACTGTCCTGCAGGAAATCGTTTTCTTCATCAAGTTCTCGACCTCGATGTTCTTCACCGTCATAATCCCCCCGCATAATCCCCCCTCCACGATGCAGCTGACGATTTTTTTTTTGCTCAGTATGACATCAACTATTTATGGAAAAAGTTTCAGCCAGCGTACTGTTACTTTTTTTTTTTTTTTTTTACTTCTTTCGCAGCCTCCTACACCCGCACCCACCGCTACTTGAGCAGCTGACGGTCGGTTCACTTATTAGTCATATAATATCAACTATCGACGTTAATATCAGCCGGCTTACTATGACTTTTGCATTTGCAACGCTACCTCCCGGACTAATATGACCCCCCCTGGCGCCAAAGCTGGATCCGCCCTTGACTTTTAATGATGCACTGTTTCGAATGTGTCGATCTTATAATGATAGAGTAAATTATTTGGATGTGTTTTCACAAAGTTCATTTATTAAAGTTATAAAAAAAGCTTCTTTGTTATTTTGAAAATGTTTAACTTGATCCTGATTGTAATTTAGTTTCAATGGATTAATTAAATACAAAATCAATGCATATAATAATAAATGTAAGTTTTAAAAATTTGGTTCTATAATCTAGTTAAACGTTGTGTGCAACATTTACTGGGATTCAATTTTATTGTGAAACATAATTTAACATAATATTATATAAATGTATCAAATTGTTTTCTGTAGTTGTACCTTTCAATAAATAAATACAAACGGCATATGTGTCGTCTACTTAAATCTAGATCTGTGATCAGTATACAAAATGTGCGATATAACTAAAATGGCGACGCAAGACATTCTATATTCACACGTCGCAAGATATACACACGTCTTGCGTAATTTTAAATTGTAAAAGTCACTCTTAAATAATAACAACACTCGCCCGTAGTGAAAGAAACATTCAACTCGCTCGCCGAAGACTTATCGCAGGGTAGACTGCGCTACGGTCAGTATCACAGACAGAGATCGAAAAAGAAACGTGTTTGTACTATGCGTACCAAAAACATGTCAAAGGCCAAGCAAAGGCTTTAAGGCTATTTTATTTCTTCGCGTCACCTTTCTCGACACTGTACGTAAATAGCAAATTTAAAAAAAGTAATAGTGTCAAAATGAAGCTGTAAAACGATACAATTGAATTGAGGTCCGGGGTCCATACTTTACCGCCGCCATCCATATATTCGCAAAATATGAAACGCTCGGTTTTCATACAAACGAGTGTTGAAACTTATAGATTATCTTTGATAGGTTTTTAAAACAAAATAAATATTTGACAAAAGTACCCTTAGTACGAGTTTGCAATTACGAAAACTATGATAGTTTTCCTGAGCTCGCACCCGCACTAAGGGTTCTGATTTTATTGTTTTCGTTTCAATAAAAATAAAATTCTATCAGTTAATCATTTGCGTCTTGTTAAATTTTAAGTATATTTGGTTACTTTTCACCAAAATGGACCTAGAATCATAATTTGTAATTACGAAAACTATGATAGTTTTCGTGAGCTCGAACTCGTACTAAGCAGTGGCGGCGCTAGACCACATGTGGACGTCGGCGACATCAAGTTCGCGAGGCCTATTTTACTTCGCAGTAAAAAACCGTTAAATTAAGTGAGCCAAATTATAAAATAACGTATAAGTAAACGAGTTTTATTGTTGATTCATACTGTTGCCAGACAGACGATTCTGAATACCCGTAAAGTACTACTCGCTTCCATCACGCACGTGTTCGAAATTAATAAAAGTCATTATCATCTGCTTAGCTTTTTCCCCGAATTGTTCGGGGTCGGCTACCTAAGCCAGGCCCGGAGAAACGAAAATAAATAGGTAACTTGTAAAATTTTTTTGCGAAGCCCCCTCAGGCGCGAGGCCGTCGGCGGTGGCCGACGTCGCCGACGCCTAGCGCCGCCACTGGTACTAAGGGTAAAGGACGGCTCCCACCATCCACGAAACATACCACTATTGATTTTTACGACACTTGTCGCTAGCGGCGAAGGAATCTGCTTGAAACTGCGTGAGACAGGTGCTGACCTTACTCCTTGTTTTCAGGTGAGGCCGTATCAACAGACGCCATAAGGAATTGCCACCGGCTGCTGCGCCAATGGGGCGTATTGGAAATGGTCGACGAAGACAAGAGGCGAAGCATCCGTCTCTGTGCCCCATACGACAACGAGCAGTCACTCCAATCGATCTGCTCCAACATATACAAGTTCAACATGAAGACTGACCTATTAGATATCAAGTGATCAAGTGACAATGACAAAAACAGAAAAGTGCTTATCAGTATCGTGATATTTTAGTTTTAGTGCAAACGCCAGTGATACTGCGACTACAACATACATACAAAACAAAAGTGGGTAATTGTATTTTAGACTTTGTCCCGTTCGGTTACGATTAAATGTTGATAATACACATCCACAAGTCAGGGGTGCAATGCATTTGATCCAATTAGTGTTAGGTGCATAACTTTCGATGGTATAATGGAACATGATTCATTATTGAATTGTGAAAATTTTGTTACAACGAACAATGGCCAAATTGTGATTAAGGTCAAGCAATTTGAGTGATTAATAAGTATCTTCATATAGTACAATTCGATTATTTACTTTTATACCTATAATATATATATATATTTATATAAGATTTGTTTGAATGCAAATTTAAATGAGATCTGTGTTATTTTGTATAAGCAAAGGCATCTTTACTGTTAATTCTGACATTTGTACAAGCCCTGCATTCATATTAAACTATGTTTCTCCTGCCCTAGCAGTAAAGACATACTTAGCCTGATGATAATGTGACAGCAATATGTAGTAAGATCTAAATTTCTAAGAAAAAAAATTTACTACTCATTACACCAATAGTGATTTGTGAGGAACTGTGTTACTTTAATAATCAGTTTAAATTGACTTCAAACTATATTTTTATCCTTTTCACATTTAAAGTACTTAGCAGATGGGTTTAAGGAAGCTGGGTACCAAAATTTCTTTACTGTGATTTAATATAGACAGTTTATAATTAATATCGTTGACTGGGTGTAGTTGCAGTTTAAGACTATATTATAGGTAATTGTTTAAAGAAAAAGGTTTAAGTTGATTTGCCAATCTAGTGGTCTCAGATTACAATCCCGATGATTCGAGATCCCGACGAAAATTATTTTTGTTAAATTTCACTTTGAGCTTTATATAAGATTCAGGATTAAATAAGGAAATAGAACAGTTTGTGGTAACATTATGTGTAGCTGTCTGTACTTATAGCCCTAACTAGTTTTCAATATTTGGCTATCACTTCATCTTAACTTCTCTGTCTATTTCAATAGGGTTTTATTTTTAACCAGTATATCTATTAATATACTGAATTAAGACTCCTATTGGCATTATGTGTAAGCATACAAATTAAGTGTGTAATGACAACAATAATGATGATCAGGGCTGGATCACAATGAAAGAAAAAATATGTGTCCAATACTTTTCGATAATCTACCTGATAGAATAAGGAAAAAAGTAAATCATCATCAGGGCCGGAAATTTAGTTAATTTAGTTTTGTTTTTTAAACACAGACCTGGCAGTGAGAGTAAAGACAGGGCAGCCAGGGATGTGGTTAAAAATAACTGAATTTCCTGGGGGTGCAAATCGTAAGGGGTCCCTGGGTGCCAGCTTTAAATTAAGGGCCTCCGCTCCTTCAATAACCCACGGCCTCCTCACTTCTAAATCCGGCCCTGATGATAACTTACTTTTTTCCTTATTCTATCAGGTTGATTATCGAAAAGTATTGGACACATATTTTTTCATTATTAAATCAAAACATTACAGAGATTTTTGATTTGATATCCCGCATGACGTCACGTCTTGGTACATTTTTTACTTAGAAGAGGTCACGATCCCCCAATCCTAAACTTTAAGACGCTTTATATCTTTGTAATTTTTTGGTTGATTCACAAAAGAAAAAATAATTGTCTATTATTTTTTGATAATCTAACCAACGGAATATATATAATTTCGTTTACTTTTACCCTGTCATCATCCCTATTACAGAGAAAAATCTAATTATTATTTTAGCTAGTCCATTTGTTTACTCTCTTATAAAATTGGTGTGTAATTCATTAGGAATATTCTTAGAAATTTGGTAAATGGTATATTTAGTCATTGGGAGAGCAAATGCTGTACCAACTACATTAAGGCCCACTTACAGCAATATTTCTAAATCTGGATTCAACTAAAACAAGCGAGGTTTTGACATTATTAAACACATAGAAATTTTTCAAAACAACATTGTCAATTTGACATCAAGCTACCGGCAAAATTTAGTTTTAGTCAAATTCAGATTTATCAAAATGGCTGCAAGTGGATATAAGACATATATTTTCATACATATTTGTTAACTCATTTCGCGTAAGGTAAAAGACCTGTGTTAGTGATTTTTTAATACAGTTGTGAAAAGCAATAATGTGCATTATGTCTATGGATGCTAGGCTTTTTCTATGATGCACGCAGCATTATAGAAAAAGTCTTAAGCAATATTTTCATACATATTTATTATCTCATTTTGCGTAAGGTAAAAGACCTGTGTTAGTAAGTTTTTTATACAGTTGTGAAAAGCAATAATGTGCATTATGTCTATGGGTGCTAGACTTTTTCTATGATGCACGCAGCATTATAGAAAAAGTCTTAAGCAATATTTTCATACATATTTGTTAACTCATTTCGCGTAAGGTAAACGAGCTGTGTTAGTGAGTTTTTTATACAGTTGTGAAAAGCAATAATGTGCATTATGTCTATGGGTGCTAGACTTTTTCTATGATGCATTCAGCATTATAGAAAAAGTCTTAAGCGATATTTTCATACATATTTGTTAACTCATTTCGCGTAAGGTAAAAGACCTGTGTTAGTGAGTTTTTTATACAGTTGTGAAAAGCAATAATGTGCATTATGTCTATGGGTGCTCTAGAGATTTTTTCTATAATGCACGCAGCATTATAGAAAAAGTCTTTAGCAATATTTTCATACATATTTGTTAACTCATTTTGCGTAAGGTAAAAGACCTGTGTTAGTGATTTTTAATACAGTTGTGAAAAGCAATAATGTGCAATACGTCTATGGGTGTTCTAGAGACTTTTTCTATAATGCTGCGTTTTGTTAACTGTACCATTGTTGGTGAAGAAGCAATAAGAAACCAATTATTTTCGCACTCGGAAGTCGAACAAAGTTTTAATAGCCTAACGGTCATATTTATAAATTACTTCTATTTAAGAAATGACTTGAGCGACATTTTTCATTTCATCGTAAGAAATGGATCAAAGTAAGAAATGGCAAAAATACGAATTCTTACAAATCGTGCCATTGAAGAAACGAATCAAAATGCCGACGCAACACATTCTGTCTCGCACGGTAGGATAGCATGGTGCGAGAGGGATAGAATGGTCGTCATTTGCGATTCGTTTTTAAATTGGCGCGAATCGTAATCAAGTATTGGTCACCATTTTCGTTGCTAAGTAACCATTAGTTTTATTGATAAATTCTAGTGTTAAAATAATTTCTCAGCAACTAATTACGTGTACTTTATATTGTTTAAAACTTTCATGGTCACTTTCATTTCAGTGACTGGTCACAGTTAGTGGCTAAATATCGAAAACTCACTAAAAACATGGTAAGTGGTAACAATCCCGTAAATAACATAAATTACTTTTACGTGTACTTGTTTATAAGTACGATAATAAGACAACATGTGATTAAATTTAATTGACATTTAGAGTGCGGTTGTAAAAAATCAATTTGAAGATTTATTAAAGATAAATTAATACATGTGACTGACGGCCACTTTTAATAATCAAACTCCAGTAGGAGATATGAGAGCGTTTTGGCCTAGATATTTTTATTATCGAAGTGATAACTTCTTATGGGAGGGTAAACCGCTTCGTTACGTAACGCGTAACGGCGCAAGTCTGTCTAGATTCCCTTCCTCTCACGCAGCAGTAGGCAGGCTCCTCCTTTGTCACTCTAACCCGCAACGCCACTGGATTAGTTTAACACACGCTTTTTTTAGATTTTAATAACAACTGTTCCTGGGAAACGCAACCAGATTATCCTTACCTTTTACTTTATACACAAAATTTATTTCATGTCTTTAAGTAAGGCTGTAATTTGTCAACTGTGGTATGATTTAACCAATAGGTTATTTAAGTTGCGTGTTATCTGTGTAATACCTTTTTTAAGAGTTTATTAGAAGAAGAGTCTGGGAAGAAACGTTTAGTTCAGCAAATGAATTTGATGTAACAATGTGTTTCTACTACTTATGTCAATAACTTTACAACTAGTAAAGCTGAATTGAAAAATTATTTGCTTATAGTTATAGAAGTTTTTTTTCCACATTCTATTCTATTAGTAGAAATAATTAAAATAGTAAGGCCCACTTGCAGCAAAGTTGCTAAATCTTAAAAACTAAAACTAGCTTTAACCCATAGGAAAATGGCAAAAACTCAATGTCAATTTGACATCATTCTATAGGCAAAATCTTGTTTTAGTTAAATTAAGATTTGGCAAGGTTTATTTTCCCTAAGTAAAAGCCTGTCATCTGTTTAAGACTGCTTTCTAAGGCCGCGTTTTCACCTGCACGAAAACTTCTGCGAGAAAGGTTAAACAGCCACTTGCAAATGAGAAGCTGGCCAACAAAGCGAGTATAATTTCATCAAATTAAATTTTACAGGAGCAGAAAAAACTGAATGACCCACGTACCGTACGTGTGTCATTCAGTTTTTTACTGCTCCTACAGTGATCTATTGGCGTAATTTTTAATTTAGTAATTTTAACACTATTTTAGGCGGTTTTGATTGACATGAGTTGAAATTCAAATTTAGCTGGCCAAAAACCTCCGGGCTGTAAAAAAATAGTAGTATAATAATATGGTCAAAATGGTCATGTGCGTAATTATACCGTTTTTTCGCCAGTTCCTCAAATGTAAACTACGTAGCAAGAACGCTCGCAACAGCATCTAATGCATGCATTAAACAATATATTTCCTAATCGCTAAATAGTTGGTTCGTTTCGCTTTGCTTATCTGATTTTCTAGTAGAGCTGAACTAAACGTACATTCACACAGTGACCCAGAGTATGAAAATATACAGGGAATGACTTTCCTACTAAAATATTAATTTCATACATGATGTGTTAAAATTGTAAGGATATAATTGTAATGAATATAATGCCGGCCGATTCTGGCATGATTCTCTAAACATAAAACTAAATTTAACATCAGACTCTCCTTTTTATTCTGTAAAGAGAATAACAATATACATGTTGTCAAATTTAAGTTTAGATTTAGAGAATCGTGCCAGAATCGACACCACTGTTGTTCAGTTCACAAATAGCAAATACGAACAGTCACTTGAAATGCTGGCGGCATAAGATATCCTAAATGGTTTGCTCAAAGATTAGAGCCAAATAATATTATCTGCGTAACTGTAATTTATTTACTTGATCTGGATGTGCAGGCGTCTGAGACGCTGGTGTATTCTCTGCGTTCTTTATGTCTTGGTGATCTCATGATTGCAGTAAATATATATTCGATATAAAGTGTTTTTTATTTCATTATTTTAGGTTGAGCTACCACGCAAATAAGTAATTAACACCCTTAACTCAGACACATCAATTACTTAAGATGTGCTCTTACCTTCTTTGCGACCGAAATAGTATCTAGTATAGTATATTTCTCTATAGTATCTAGCTTGAATGAGAATCATCATTATCACAGCCTATCATAGCCCACTGCTGAAGATAGTCTAGGTTTTACTATCGAGTTGTTTTGCCCATAGTTATCTTCTGTCGTCTACGAGTAAATACAGTAGTAGCTTCGCAAATACACAAAAATTTCAACGGTCAAATTGCACCTACACAAATAACCGCTATAAACATTGAATGGCAACTGAATAAAATGTGCGCGGCTGGCAGCCACACCGCATTTCTGTTGGGCAGAATATCTGCCCAACAGAAATGCTGCGTGTGCAACCAAAATTAAGTGATTCACAATGCAACTTAAAAAATTACGCTTCTTTAGATTTGCCCTAAATTACGCACAATAGAAGTGGATGCGTAATTTTGCTTTCGACACTTTGAGCGCGATTGTGAGTATACTTCTACGAGTTTAGGTTAGGTATGAATAAAATGTTCTTTAGCCACTGGTCGTGGTAATGGGTGTCTAGTGCGTGAGGTGTCTAAAATTCGCTTTGTGCGTTGCTGCGCCTAGTCACATGAGTTTTATTTTTTCGGGGACTCCCCCGTACTTTTGTCCAGTGCGATCTCTCGGTGTCGTTTATTCATTCGGGGACCTTTTTTGTGTATTTTTAATTCGCCGTGGGCGTTATGAAATTTTATGTAAGCAATCTATTTTGGCGGACAAAAAAGTCCGCGGACATAACTACTTCGTATACGGCGAAGTTCGGTAAGCGGACTTAGTACACGTCCGCTTACCGTTACCTTACCGAATTAAAAATACCGCGCAAGTCCCGTGAATGAATAAACGACACCGAGAGATCGCACTGGCAAGTGTAGTCCGCTACTTCTGTGTAGTTTTTGGGCCTTTGGGGGCTATAGCCATACAAATAACAACTCATCAAGATTTCAAAGTCAAATAAATATCAATTGATTCAAAACTCTACATCATTGTAATACAAGTAAAAAAATCACCTCGGTAAAATAACCGGGCAAGCTTTGTTTCTGTAGCAGTGAAAAAAAAATTAATTGAATCTACTTAAAATGTCTTTGCTTTCAAATAATAAAAAAACACAATCCATACAAGCATTATTTTATAAAATATACCAATAATAAACTTAACAAAACCAATAAAATAATGTATTTAGTTTTTATTAATTAAAAATATAATTGTTTACAATCATTTTTTTATAAAATTATATAAGAATAAGCTTAACATACTATAGAACTTATTTTAAAGAATAAAAAAGCAAAGTCAGTTACAAACATTGTTTTTAAAATGATATAAAATTATAATAAAAAAACAATTATATAATTATCAAATCAAACAGTTTTAAGGTTTTAATCGAATCGAATTATCATCGAAGTAACTTTTTTAGTAATCAAATAATTACTTATTTAACGGAAGTATCCTACCTAAGCAACACTTGGATTAAATTTGTCTTTATGTCCACAGAAAAGGTCAACCATTATACATTTAATCATACTTGATTGAATAAATCGCTTATAAAATTTAATTATAAATAGACCCATACATTTGTCTTGGCGAAGACAAATGTATGGGTAAAAATGCAGCATCGAAAAGAGTTTCTTCCTTAAAAATCCTTGTCAGCTAGGTACACATCACACGCCAACATCAAAGTGCGCTGTGATTACTATTTTACGCGATGAAAGTTTCGTCAAAGTAGTTATCAAAAATAGCTGTTTTGAGGTTACTTTGATCGTGTAAAGTTTACACTGTAAACTAACAATTAAAGCGCATTTTAACGTCGGCATTAAATACTCAACTTTTTGTAAAAGCTATTTTGTCAAAGTTTACTTTGAGCATGTCAACGTGGCTCTACCTATAACTGAACCTGGCTGTCTGTACTATTTTACAATGCTATAATTGAATCAAAGTAAAAGTGTGATAATTTCGCCAGTCGTACTCTCAATCAATAAATGCTGTCCTCACCTCAGCAAGAGGTGAGCTAGATTCTGGCATGATTCTCTTTGACATAAGCCAGTCTCGTCAATTTTTGTTTTAAAGAATGAATCGTGCCAGAACCGACCGAGCTCATGGGTGCATTGCCTTCTCAAGCTTCATCAATTTATAACAGCCGAAATGACTGCGCATATTCAACCTTTTTTTTATTAATCTATTATTGTCTGCCACATAAAAACTTTCTTAAGGGAAAGAAAGAAAGCCATCTTAAGATGGCGCCGTTCACCCACAAAATGTAGAATACAAAAAATTACTAAATGTAGTACTTATACAAAAAATTACTTAAATGTATAACGTAAAAACACAATCTTTATAGGTAATTTTGTCATCGATGTACTTAAAATGAAATATAATAAATGTGGTATCCACTCACCATAATCAACTTACAATCAAGGTTCAACACGGCGGGAGGTTAATACGCGCCTATATAGAACCCAATCTAAAAAGGCAACTCAAATTTGATGTCCCTTTTGCTCCTACTGTCGGGAATATTGTGCGAGAAGGACAGAATGTATTGCGACGCCATTTTAAGTTAGTTTCATTATTAGGTTACGAATAAATCTGTTTCAATTTTAAAGGCCAAAAGGAAATCCGAAGATTCTTGCTCGTGTCTGATCCAGAAATCGGCGTACCCTTAGCTGTCTCAATTCAGGCTCGACAATGGTCAGTCTTTTTAGGAAGTATTCTTTTACATTCTTGTGTTCTCGGCTTTTCAAATGGTTCTGAAGATCATCCCAAGGTGCGATCACGAGGTTGCAGTAACCACAGTGAAATATGCCAGTACGGACCTTTAAAATCAAAGATTTCAAATAGTGTAGTTACAGTTACCACCAGGTACATACAATGGGGGCATAATAATCGGCGCATTCGCCTGGATAGGGGGTAGAAAAGGCTAGCTCAATTCCAGTCTATGTTTAGCACCTACCAATCCATACTGAATTGTTCGGTGCGCAGCGCACGCATGGTTGATGGTCCGTTCTTCTATAATCTGTTCATAGGGAAGGTCTGTTTTTATGCCAGCAGTGAGGGAAATTAATAGGATGATGATGAAAAGCGAGGTTTTATGAAGTAACTTATGCCCGCATCTTCGTCCGGGGTCAGGGGGATTAAAAAATGTTAACGCATCTCCATAGTTAATCATAGTAAAATGCTTGGAGTTCATTTCACACCAGGTGGCAAGGAAATTCTCTAAATTTTCTTTTATTAACTTACTTTTAACCTGATCCATTTCTTAGAGAAATATTAATGTGAAATATTGTCTTTCGAAACTAATAAACGTAAAGGATCGCGAACACCGAAGAACTTACGCAATTAGATTGATGTGTTAGAATTCTAACTTAGAAATGTTAAATTATTTGGAATCATGTAAATCATGTTTGAACTCTCCTCGAGATTATTCGTTATTATTAACTATGTGACAGCGTGCCTTATGGACAGCAGAAAGAATTAGGTAGGTAGGTAAGGACTTACCTCTCTCACGAACTCCGTACGGTCCAATGACGTGATGACGGACACTTCACCCATCGCCTCATTGTGGCCAAATGATTCTTGGTGCGTATCGACTTGGTAAGGGGTCAAGTTCACCTCGCAAGCCTGACAACGCAGCGATTGTCCATTATTGGTGATTAAGAGGAAACTATATTGACTTATACAATATTGATCATTCACAATGCGCTCATGCCCATTAAAATGTCTAATGGTGCATAATTCTTCCACGAAGTCTTTCATTGGGGTTTTGCGATAAGGAGCTTGCTTTTTGGATTTGAATTTAGATTCCTTTAATTTATTTGCAGACAGTTTTCTATGTACACTGCCGGAGACATGCTCCTTCATGGAAGCAAGTGAAGCAGGTAGCCTCACATCACATACCCGACAGTAAGCGTTGTTACTAGCTGCATCATAAGTCAACATGTTTTCCTTAGCAAATACAAGAGGATCTGATACAGTAGGCATTTCGTCATCATCGACCTTTTTTCCGTCTATAGCTTGTTTATTTGAAGCAGCAGAAGCAATTGGCAAAATTTTACCATTCGTTTGTTTGTTAAATTCCTCAATCGAACTTTCGTGTTTTTTTATGTGATTCGATATAGATACGGGATCGAAGTCAACATTTTCGAAGCATTTTTTACAGAATGCTGTTTCATTTTCAATGTTAATGTCAACTTCATTTTTCTCATATATAGGAATTGAATCTAATATAAACAATTTGTTTTCTTCATAACTTGAATTAATTGATTTTGTTTCCACGACCACGTTCTCGAATTTAGCATTTTTATTAATCTGGTCGCCGTTTGTTCCTTCAGATTTATAGTTTAAAAAAGCATCCTTACATTTTGTCAATCTCATGGAATGTACAGCCTCTTTGAAATGGTTATCGAGATCATGATAAGGATAAATTTCATTACAAGTTATGCAATGGAATGAGCTCTCGTCTACCTGAATGACATAAAGAAAAGAAGGTGTAATAAGTCATAATTTTATAAATTCAAGTTTGTGTTATAACAATATGTTTAATTGTGTGTGTGTGTGTGTAGTGACCAAGTGGCCCACTTTTGGTAAGCTTCGATGTATAGGTACTATAGTTTTTTGTACAATACATTAAAAAATGAGTGTAAAATATATCTTAAGTCTCGAAAATATACAGTCGAACATAGAACCTCTTCCTTTTTTGAAATCGGTTAATGACACGGGGCGAGTTTACAAGCTACAACTCGCCCCGTAACATCTAGTAGCAGATTGTAAAAAAGTCGATGAAACGGGGCGAGTTTAAGAGGCACGTCGCAGATACTGATAAGTTAGCAATATTTGCAAACCCTAATTCCTACAGATTATGTTTAAAAATTTAATGGCAAATATGTAACAATAGCGGTGCACAGCAGTGCGCAAGAAGCGGCGGTAAGAGCCGGGGCACGACTTCTTCGCTCTGTGACTCTAGCTAGGCCCCGCTCAAAGTCGCCACGCGCAACTACGTGGCTCTTGGGGATGGTGGTTGCGCGGGTGTCAATATAAATGACTCACCCGCACGGTTACGCGGATGCCCCTGCGTTTTCGTACCTATAAGCCTAAACATCGGCGCAACCGCCATCCGTCGCGGTTGGCGCCTCGTGCTTTATACTACTTAGATTCATGCAATACAGGAAATCTATAATACCTTGCGATAGATTTGTTGCAAGTCTCCAAACTCAACACAACTCTGAACCAAATTCAGAATGTGAGTAAAATCTGATTTGTGGAGATTCCTGTTAGTTACATCAACGTTGCATACAGCGCACGCATTTCCAGTAAAACCACTCCATACGTCGTAATCAATGAGCAGACTGTCGTAAGCCACGACGTAGCAGCCGTCTCTCTTTATCAGTTGGACTGCTTTGTTGCGAGTATGCTGCTTCTCCTTCACGTGAAAACCTGCTTTAGTGACGGTGGACAGAAGCAGACCGCAGAAAGTGCAGAAGTAACCTTTGTTCACCTGCAATTTTATACAGTGTTTGTTAATAGCAATTGTAATAAGATGAATGAATGAGGGTGTTTAGGATAATTCACGTCACTATTTGGCGCAACTGTGACGTGAGGCCTTTTGTATGAAGTTTTTGGCCCGAATTTAACGAACGAGCATTTAAATTGATCCATAGACTATGACAACATAAATTTGATGAATGAGTAGACTCATGACGCCACCTGGCGCCCGTTATTCCAGGAAACCCTCATTGAAACGTGCGCCTGGGGATACAGCCAACTATCATAGCAAACACAAAATAGATAGATATAATAGATAGTACAGAAGTCGGTCTACATAATAAGTGCGCTCGAGTAACGTACACATAGAAACCGCTCACGGACACAATATCTCGGACCGTTTGGGACCAGTGCAAGAAGGACGCGATGCAAATCGTAATCCGTGTGGTGGTACATGGCAAGACAGAGATTTTGATAAGTGGTCCCTCATCACAAAAAGATTAAGAACCACTGCGTTAGTAACAGTGTAGCTAATAACGCCTAGAAGCCATGTATGTCTTAACCAAAACAAGAGCGTTGATGCATGCCAAATTCATTTTTTGTATTCATAAATTGGCTGCACCTAGACCTACACACACAAATATATGGTTCGTCAAGCGCGTGTCGGATTCGCGCATGAAGGGTTCAACATTAGACACTATATTATAATATCGAACAAAAAACGGCAAAAAATTATGTCTGTCGTATGGGAGCTCCCCTTTAATATTAATTTTATTTTAATTTAATAATTTATCTATATAGTGAATATACAACTAAATATTCTGTGAATATTTGAAGCGTCGTACCTGTAGCCGTTATTACTAAAGACTAAAAAAAGGGGAAACAATCACATTTGTTGTATGGGTCTTAAATTTTTTTTTATTGTTATAGCAGCAACAGAAATACATCATCTGTGAAAATTTCAACTGTCTAGCTATCACGGTTCATGAGATACAGCCTGGAGACACGTATATTAAGCTAGCAGACCATGGTCGCAACGCGCACATCTAACCTACTGGGTATTTAGTAGCTAGTTAGTTGCTAATTAGTTACACTATTCCCGATTTAGTTGCTCAACACCTGTAAAAGATACATGCGATCTGCTAGATTAAGTCTTAACCTAGCAGACCACAATACTGTATCTTCGGTTCTCGTAAAGATATCGAAGTTCTGCAAACGGCATATTTAGTTGCTAATTAGTAAAAAATTAATTATCAACCCTTAACTCCAGATCATCCCTGCAACCACCTCAGAATAGGACGATATCGGAAAATTCTCGTAGGTGGAAAATAGACGCGGGATATTTAGTTGCTAATTACTTGCTCGTCAAAAACGCAGATAAGAGTATTCTACAAACATCCCCTAACCTCAGATGCAACCCCTCTACTCACTTAGAAACAGTAGATGGTTAAAATTCGCACGCAGATGTTTCAGACTGCTGGATGTTTTGTTGTTAATTAGTTGCTGAAAAATAGCGTTGCTTATAATATTTGATTATCAACCCTTAACTCCAGATCATCCCTGCAACCACCCCAGAATAGGACGGTATCGGAAAATTCTCGTAGGTGGAAAATAGACGCGGGATATTTAGTTGCTAATTAGTTGCTCGTCAAAAACGCAGATAAGAGTATTCTACAAACATCCCCTAACCTCAGATGCAACCCCTCTACTCACTTAGAAACAGTGGATGGTTGGAATTCGCACGCAGATGTTTAAAACTGCTGGATGTTTTGTTGCTAATTAGTTGCTCGCCAAAAACGCAGATAAGAGTATCCTACAATCATCCTCTAACCTCAGATCCACCCCCTCTACTCACTAAAAAATAGTAGATGGTTCGAATTCACACGCAGATGTTTAAAACTGCTGGATATTTTGTTGCTAATTAGTTGCTGCAAAATAGCGTTGCTTATAGTATTTAATTATCAACCCTTAACTCCAGATCATTCCTGCAACCACCCCAGAATAGGACGATATCGGAAAATTCTCGTAGGTGGAAAAAAGCGGCGGGATATTTAGTTGCTAATTTTACTGTTTCTAAGTGAGTAGAGGGGTTACATCTGAGGTTAGGGGATGTTGGTAGAATACTCTTATCTGCGTTTTTGACGAGCAACTAATTAGCAACTAAATATCCCGCGTCTATTTTCCACCTACGAGAATTTTCCGATATCCTCCTATTCTGAGGTGGTTGCAGGGATGATTTGGAGTTAAGGGTTGATAATTAAACTTTTTAAACAACGCTATTTTGCAGCAACTAATTAGCAACGAAATACGCCGTAGTTTATATTCTCTGATGATCTCTTTTTAATTTTATCGTATTTCGGGGGTAGTGTGGGTGCTGGTGCGGCAATTTAGGGATGATAGAGGGATATTACAAATAATGCTGTCCTACAGCAACTAATTAGCAACTAAATATGCCGTTTGCAGAACTTCGATATCTTTTCGAGAACCGAAGATACAGTATTGTGGTCTGCTAGGTTAAGACTTAATCTAGCAGATCGCATGTATCTTTTACAGGTGTTGAGCAACTAAATCGGGAATAGTGTAACTAATTAGCAACTAAATATGCCATTTGCAGAACTTCGATATCTTTACGAGAACCGAAGATACAGTATTGTGGTCTGCTAGGTTAAGACTTAATCTAGCAGATCGCATGTATCTTTTACAGGTGTTGAACAACTAAATCGGGAATAGTGTAACTAATGAGCAACTAATTAGCAACTAAATACCCAGTAGGTTAGATGTGCGCGTTGCGACCATGGTCTGCTAGCTTAATATACGTCCTGGAGACAGACAGACAGTGGAGTCTTACTAAAAGGGCCCGTATTAGACGACCTCCGTGGCCGAGTGGTTTGTACCAGGACTTGAAACCGGTTCCGAAAATACCGGTAAATAAAGGTAAATACCGGTTTTTAGTAAAGGTTTCGTTCGGAGCACGTCCGTAATGAAAGCGGTGCCTAAAACCTTAACAAACCGGTTTAATCCAAAGCAACACGTGCACGTGTCGGCATCGCTTGAAGTTTGTTTTGTTTGAACTAATCAAGTCACAACTAGTTAATGCTCAGAGATTGATGCATTTATTGACACATTTGCTAGCGTCTAGTAAGTCAAGTTATTCATTTATTATCGATGCCGTCAGTAAGAGCGAATAGAAACCCATTAAAACCACTAAATTGATTCACAACCTATTTGATTTCGCTTTTTATGAAAACCGGTATTTTAAGGTTAAGGTAGAGCCAAACCTAAATAAAACGCTCCGAAACGCGCGAGTACTCGGCACTGATTTAGGTTTGAAAATTAACCGATAAATAAGCCCTGGTTTGTACGCTGGGTTTTGTGGTTTCGCCGACTCGAGAGGTCCCGGGTTCAAATCCCGGTGGGTGCAGATGTTTGTGTGATGAATACGAACATTTGCACTCCAGTCATGGATGTTTAATATGTATTTCTATAAAAAAAATACACTTATATATGTACAGTATATGTATTCTATCCGTTACCCTTGTATCCCATAACACAAGCCTTATAGTGCTTACTTTGGGGCTAGGCTAATTGGTGTGAGTGTTGGAAATATATATTTATTTATTTACATATTTATTTATTTACATATTTATTTATTTACATATTTATTTATTTACATATATATTTATTTACATATATATTTATTTACCCTAAAAATCGAGAAACTTGCTATTTTCTGCGATGCGATGCCAAAGTATTTGGCAGGATAAATATGATGTTATATACCTATATTATTATAATTTATAACGGAAGTAAAATTATATGTATTGTATAATTACATTATCATTTAGAGATTATACCTACAATAAATTAATAAACATTAATTAATTCCCAAACCTTTAGTATTTTCTCGTCTTTATACTTTTCCACGTATTCGGCGGCATCTAGGTTTTTCTGATGAACTGGCTTTGCGATGTGTGACGTCACTTCACTGTCACTTCTCAGGTGATTTTCACACACCATGCAAACTGAGTCCACGTAACTTTTCAAGATTGTGTTCTCAAGAAACTTGGAAGACATATTTCCGTCTGAAAATATAAAAAGCAGGTAATAAGTACTAAGAAGTACAACGGACGGATTATGTACACAGAGCGGAACAAAGGAGATTATAAGCTCGGATTGAAGTGCTTACACTAGGGTATTGTATTATATAACATTTACAGGCTGACGAGGTGACTTACGGAACAAAAATGCGCTGGCTAGTGGTAGTAATTCAATCTCCGCTATAATTATAGTTACTATATTATTTCCTAAACACTATTAGGATAGCAAACCAGTATACTTCGCTACTTTTATTAAATAGTAAAATCAACATCTAGACGACAAAACGGTTGCAAGGAACTAAGGGAACTGACCTAACACTACGCACGTAAAACGAAAACACTTTATTGATAAACGGCATCGCTCTCACTCACATTTTATTTATCTACGCACAGTGTGCACAAACTATCATTTACCGAAAAATAATAACACCATTAGGTAACGCAAATATAATAACACTAATGGTCAGTGCCGTTTTATCCATTAGGCATTATAGGCAACTGCCTAGGGGCCCTGCCACGTTCAGGGGCCCCTGTGCTACAGGGAAAAGAATAGGCAATGTTTCTTAAACAGTAAAAAATTAATTTGAAAATTTGCTCTGTACATTACATCGACGCTATTTTAGTACATTTCGGAACGCATTCCTTATTAGATATTATTATTATGATTATTATGATAGTTTAAAAGTTTATAACGCAGTAATATAATTGCAAGCAATTTTATCGCGGTAATTTAATTAAAAACGCTCAAAACTCTTTGTTGTGAATGCACACTTACTATACTGGTACCTACCAAGTATGTATATTCTATGGCCAAGCTACTTTCATAAGGTTGGCAGTACTGGTTCGTTGGCATGACCGGGGAATTCCCCGAGTCGTTAAATACGTATTGTATGATGTGTCATAGACATTATTTTCGAACCATTTTCAATTAAATCGTTCAATTTTTACTTCGTGCAATTCGTTTGCAAGTTTCACGGCTGTGAATAAAAAGAGAGTTTTACAATTTGTGTTTTAAAAATTACGAATTTAAGGATAAGTGTTGGATATTTATTTATAAAGACTGCAGAAGTGCTTCAGGCTTTGTGAAAATCGGTGAAACGACGGGTTAAAAACAGTGTAGTGGAAACTAAAGTTTCATTAACTGAAGTTAAAATTACTTTACGTAAGTTTTATTATTTTTTACATATTTTATTACCTGATACAGGATTTGACAAATGTGAAGTGTCGTTTTATTATTCAATTGGATATTTTAATTAATTTCTATGTTATTAAATATTTTTACTTTGGGTGTTTATTAATATTAAGCAGGAAACTATTATTATTATTATATTGTTTGAGCTGCTAAGGTGAAATTTTCTTTACTGTTTTAAAACAAAAGATTATTCCTTTCAGGAACAAAATGTCGGAGGTACCCGTAAAGAAAAAGCATGAAAGTGGTTCCGAAAAACGTAAAAAGCGGCAAGAGCAACAAAATAAACTTAATGAACAATTAAAGAAGACACAAAACCTTTTCGAACTCGGATTTAGTCGCGAATTAAAGGAACATCAACCTCATGACACTCCAAGTACGTCTTCTACCAGCCACAAGATGGAAGTAGACCCAGTAGAGGTTCCTTGCGAGCCTTTTGAACAGATTGGCCAGGATCAAGAAACACCTACGTTAGTCAGTGCAGAGGAAGGTGAGGCCGAGACAGGGGTCATACATCAAAACGTAGTTCATCTAGGGGTGGAATACCAGAATGACATTGGCTTATGGCAAAATATTACCAACGAAATGCAAGATTTTTGGTGTACTAGAGACCCTAACGAATGTCAACACTTTGATTGTAATTTTTCTGCTTCGGCCCGACAGTACGACGACAGTAAAAGATTTTTTTCTCAGTCTATGTTTTTTCGGAAACACATCAGTGGTGGTAAAATCAAACGGGAGTGGCTCATGTATTCTCCGTCTACTGGAAAAGTATACTGTTTTCCATGTATCCTTTTTGGTGAAGCACAAAACCGATCACAATTTCAAACTGGATTTTCTGATTGGAAAAATGCGTTGCACCGAATCCAATCGCATGAGAATAATGCAACTCACCGAGTATGTGTACAGACACTCATAAGTAGACGACGCATTCACGGACGAATCGACACTTCTTTAGAGATTACATTTAATAAAGAAAAAGAATATTGGAAAAAAGTTTTAGAAAGAATAGTCTCTGTGATAAAATTTTTATCATCCCGTGGATTAGCATTTCGTGGTGACAATGAAATTCTCGGTTCTCAACATAATGGCAATTATTTGGGAATTTTAGAGTTAATCGCAGAGTACGATCCTTTTCTTAGTTCGCATTTAGCAAAATATGGTAATGAAGGCAAAGGAAAACAATCGTATTTATCTGCAACGATTTGTGAGGAACTTATTGAAATATTGGGAAATAAGGTTTTAAAATATATTGTTAATGAAATTATTGAAGCCAAATACTTCTCAATAAGTGTCGATTCGACACCTGATATATCACACACTGATCAGTTGACTGTAGTGCTGAGATATGTTACGTCGAATGGAGAAGTGGCTGAACGTTTTCTTAAATTTCTTCTCATACAGAACCACAAAGGGGAAGAACTAGCCACCGAAATATTAAATTTTTTAAGCCAATATAATATTGATGTAAGAAATTTGAGAGGTCAGTCTGCGTCGAATATGTCTGGTCGTTACAATGGTCTCCAGGCGCATATAAAGAAAATAAATCACCTCGCACACTACGTTCCCTGTGCAGCGCACTCACTGAATTTGGTTGGAGTACGTGCAGCGGAAAGCTGCGTTGGAGCAATCTCATTCTTCGGATTTGTACAGGCAATATACAACTTTTTTTCGGCATCAACTCATCGCTGGGCAATTATGCTCGAAAATCTTGAAAAACGTGATGAACGTAAGCATAATTCGTCATTGGTTCTGAAAAGTGTATCCGATACAAGATGGTGTGCAAGGGCCGATGCTACTAAGGCTTTGGCAACTGGTTACAACAGTTTTCAGAAAGCTTTGCAGTCTATTGCTAGCGATGAGACTCAGACATCACAAGCGATTCACGAAGCTAAAAGTCTATTGAATGACTTAAGAAAAAAAGAAAATGCTGTAATGGCCGTATTCTGGGCTGCCATACTAGATCGGATCAATGGTGTCAGCATATCTTTACAAAAGAAAACAATTGAACTACGAACAGCAGTCGATCTTTTAAAATCGCTTTTAGATTTTTTAATTTCACAGAGAGATTTATTTGATGACTACGAGACTAAGGCAAATGAGAAAACTGATACTCAATACAGTGATGAGAATCAGCGTGAGCGAAAAAGGAAAAGGCATCACGATGACGGATCAGCAGAAGAAGTTGTGCTCAGAGGAAAAGAGAAGTTAAAAGTTGATACATATTTGCCAGTACTAGACATGTTATTTACAGAACTGTCGCGGCGCCTAGAAGCTTACCGGGAAATAAATGATCTGTTTGGGTTTCTAACAGATTTCTCGACAAAATCGGACGCTGAAATTAGACAGGCTTGTACAAAATTTAAGGATCATTATTTCGAGGACATTGAGCCTGAGTTTATAGACGAAATGGTGCAGTATAAATACTTCATCTTACAATTAGATGACGCCGGACAAAAAAATATGCCAGCCGAGGAGTCTTACAAACTGATTATTGGTAACATGGCACAGTCAACATTCCCGAATGTAATGACAGCTTTGCAAATATATAGAAGTCTAATGATTACAAATGCCACTGGTGAACGAAACTTTTCCAAATTGAAATTAATTAAAAACTGTCTTCGTTCAACGATGTCTCAAAACCGTTTAAATTCATTGGCTATAATGGCAATTGAAAATGACGTGTTGGAGAAGATTACCTTTCAGGATATCTTGAACGATTTTGTATCAAAAAAAGTTAGAAGAGTTAATATTTAAGCTATGTATGTTTTTTATAAATGCATAAATAAACATTCTGTTCATTTGATTCAACATTTTTATTGAATAATATGATGATATACCCAGGTTAGTAAAAAACGGTGTAATTTTGAATTTTGTTGTGTTAACGTAAAAATTAGAAGAGGGTAGGGGGCCCTGGATGAGCATTGCCTAGGGGCCCCGACAGGCATAACCCGGCCCTGCTAATGGTGACTTCTACTGATATCATATCCACAAAAAAAATGTAATTGGCATTGACGAGACTAGCCAAGCGTACGCAATGGCACTACTTACCATTTCTCGAAGCGCTTATTTTGGAACCCTAATTTGGATTTAATTATACGAGATAAACGAAATTCACGGGATGTTTTCAATAGCAAACATATAAAGTTTCAATTACTTAGCTCTTATACTTTAGATTTTATTGATATCTAAAAAACCCTGATTTCAACTCGTCACTGACTCACTGCTGATCATCAAAATTTTTAGGATATTTCGTAGTGTCCTAGAAAGCTGAAATTTGTTTAGTAGTACTTACACAAACAACAAAAGAATACCTAGTCCAGCCATAAGTCCTGTTACATTTTTTTATTTTAATGAAGTAAAAATTTACCTTCATATTTATTAATGTCTCAGCAAAAAAATAAAAAAATATTCAGCCTCCTTTGGCTTTTATACATGCCATTAATCTGTTTAGCCACGAATCTATGGATTTACACACTGTTTCCAAAGGAAATTTCGCCACTGCTTGCTCCAAATAATATCTAAGAGACTCAATGTCGCCGTGTAGAGCAGGCCATGTCCCCTAAAACTGATCATAATTTGAAGTCTAAAGGGTTGATGTCTGGGCTAGATGAGGACCAGTCTTCAGCTCTTATATAGTCCGTAACATTGGTTCAAGCCAGACTTGCAGAATCCTGTTGGAAAGTTCACGGTATATTTTTTAAAATTGTATTGCTGAGAGGTTTCGCAACATGATCCAAGACTGTATCTTGATAAACTTTGGCTGAAGTTTTCACTCCTGTTTCACAAAAATGTA